TCCGAATGTTTGCATCATTCGTATGTATGAACAATTATCTCAGTTTATTTTCTGACAACTACTCAAATAGAGAATATGGCCCATTAGCTTAAGGAGTTGACTTCCGACCAATGCGGTCAAAGATTTGAAAAAAGCTCCCCTTAACAAGGTTTGTTCTGCCAGATATTTGTGTTCAATGGTAACGTGTTCACTACGAAGACTCAGAACCCTGGTTTTGATTCCTGGCTGCGTACTACTGAAGAGTCCCATTCCATGACGAAACAGATGTCCAATTATTCTCCAACTGAAGTCAGTCCATGATGAATACCAACTGAAAACATCCTGTAGCTAGGCAAGCATATTTATCTGAGTTTGTATTGAGAATACAATGCATCAAAGGTCAACAGGTATCTACGTTATGTCACCATAAATCTGACTAATTCACATAAACATACCAGAGCAGATACATCGAAAGAATAGACAGGAAAGCTGAGATCCTACTTTATGAACACATATCAAATAAATTACTCACATAACGGTATCAAATAGTTTTCAAAGTTCACCTAGTAAAACTCTGAGTGATACAAGATAGATATCGAGCGCTAATAAAATAACCAGTAAGAAAAGGAATGATAGTTTACTTAGATTTTCAAACACATTTTCCATTAGAAGAATTCAAAAGAAGTTTTAACTTCAAAAAGAGACAGTCGTTAATACCTAGCTCCCAGGATAGTCGATGAATTCGGTTTTCTAACTGATCTGAGAATTTTATTGCCTAGTGCAAAACGACTTTACTCCCTATGTCACATTTCTACTGTGACTGATTTATTTACTTATAAACAACTCAAGTTTTCAATACATTTACCCTGATTTCTTTTGATTGTTCGTTTTTTCTGAGTAGTTGTATAAGAGTTAAACTTGTTCACTGTGGTAGAATGTAATTCCATTTTTGTAGATTTATTACACAGCAAAGGAACAGTTTTGTTAATTGGATTACCTTTCGGATATAATTTATGGTCCATAGTCATCATATCAAGGTAACTACAACTTTGAGATCTCCTTCATATAGTCCTAATTTCCTCCCCCGTTTTTGATAATATGGGCAGTCAGATTATCCTGCTGCTGCATGTATGAAGTGTTGATTCGACAGACACAAACTCAATTATCAATCTCCCCCCTCACCCGACTGAGTTAATTTTAAGTATTTTCACTTGTCGTATACTGTTGTGTGTAATCGCATGCAGAGCTATGGCTAAGCTTCTTCGTAAATTCCTTACCTGACTAGGATGTACTAATTTTGACCTAACTAGGATTTTGTGTTCGGATAGCCTAATTGACCGTGGCTGGTCGACTACCGTGACCTCACACATCGTTGCAAGGGAGTCAGTAAACTAAGTTATTCCACTTAATTGAATCAATAGGATCTTTTAACCGACAAAGCTTATTTCTAAGTGAGTTTGTAGGTTTAAATACCACTGTAATCCCTGTCAGCCTTATTGGGAATTCTACGTAGTTGTTCCGAGGTGCATTCGTCGTATGGTAATACTGTAGTGGGCTTGAATACTGTGTTCACAATATTGCCACTATTATCACTACTATTGATACCTGTGTTGTCACGAAAAGCATTCCCAACAAACTACAAACATACATCATATCAACAGCTACCACCTACGCTCACTCCATACTGAAGATGAGATCAGATCAGATCACATCACATCAGACCAGACAGCCAGAAAGAATAAGCAACAAGGAAATCTGGTCTGCCAACGAAGCAAACAAGAACTTAACAGTCAAAAAATGTGTAGAAAAAGAAGGTGGAGATGGATTAGATTGGGCACACACTGAGAAGGCCGACTGGGGACATCATGCGCTTCGCTGAGCCAGGCCCTCTAGGGGAATTCGAAAGGGAAACGACGAGTTGAGCGTCCCAGCTGAGGGTGACATGTGGGAGATGGTATGAGGAAGATATGGAAGGTTGTGGGCAGTCATGGCACCAGGTTAAAAAAGAAGACTTCAGAGAAGGGAGTGGAATGGAGTCGTGCTACTGAAGCTCTATGTTCCACTAGGAACCTAAGGCAAAAATAATAATAATACCTGTGTTACTGACATTTTTTTACAATTCCTAAGGAACTTATCAATTAATTTGGGGAGTAATTATTGACGAGTAAGGTATCCTTAATGTATCTGGTTTCTTCTTTTAGACATTCTGTTTTACTAGACACTTTACTAAGCCAACTTCAACTGACTGGTATAGGGTGAGACGATTTGAAGTCTAAGTAACGATTTGAATGTGAAGGTTTTCTGTAGACAACTAGTGTCTAAACTTCCATCTTGTTTCCGTTTCCCTTCTCCAATCCAACATCGCTAATTCCTCTTCACTATTTTCTAATTCATAGGTGAATTGGACTATGTTAACTACTGAACTTATATGTGTGAAGAAATTATGTATGCGCTGCAAATTCAACACTGTAAACACGTCGTCTACATTTCGAAACCATATGTGTGCAGCCAGACTGAATTTTTCTACAGCCATCTGTTCCCAACTATCTATAAATATGTCAGCCACAGCAGGTGATATTGGTGATTCCATGGCAACTCCTTCTATTTGTTTGTAAATTTTATTCAGAAACTTAAAGATTGTGTTGGTAAGGCATAACTGTACTCCTAGCATGATATCATCTACTGGTACCTTACTTCGTAGTGTAAGCTCATTTCTAACTGCTTCCGATGCCATGCCAATCGAAGGTGTATCAGTATACAAACTACCTACATCAAAGCTAACCACTTTTTCATCATCATCATCATCATCTAGATGTATGTCATCTAATCTATGCTTCAAGTCATAAGAGGAGTTAGTATATCTTGATTTAGAACGGTTTCTAATTCCACCTAGTACCATCACTAAGTATTTAGACAAGTCATAAGTAGGAGTGTCTACTATGGGTCTAATAGGATAACCTGGTTTATGAAGTTTGATAGTATCATATATCCTACTGGGATTATTAGTCTTCAGCATGACTATACATAATAAACTACGTGCGAAACGTAATCTAGTCAACAATAATGTTTCATTGTAAGATAAATTCAATAAATCAATCAAAAGTGAATATTTTTAGTTGTCTAACTGATCAACAAAGTGAGTTGACCAATAGCCACAATGAAATTGTCATTTATACCTACAATTGATGGCAGTTTACGTATTTTACAGCTATACAATATCGTATTTGAGTTTATAGTTCATAGTAACCATGAATTATTAATAAATAAGGAACTACTTTCAAGAAAATAAGACAGTTATCTTATTTACAGTGAATCTGAAGTGTTTAAGTCTAGCTGGAAGTAACACTCTCTTTAATTTATAACCGTGTATTCACAGTAGAAAGATAATTGATCCTCATCTCTTAATAGAACTTCTCTTTGGATTTATATGACTAACCTACCACATTCCCTCTCCACCTAATTAACCCTTCCAATTCCATTTTTTGATTGGTTACATGTACCAGGAATGGAACCTTTCCACTTCCTTTGAACTTATACCATTTCTTCTATTATTTTTCATCAACCGACTATCTCCTTTGTATTCACTAAAGTGTACAGGCTGCATTTATCGGTATATATATATGTATATAAAATGCAATTTCCATAGCCTATGAGTATTTGAAAAAGCGATGAAAAATACCATTAATTCCTCGCATCCTGAGGAAATTTTATTCCTGCTTTTTCAAAAGTTTTTGAAGAGAAGTAACTGCTGTAACGTTAGCAACTGGATATACATTATGGGTACGCTGAAAGTCAAGTGTTGTTTAAGTGACCAACAGGTATAAATTGGTAGCAAGCTGGACAATGAAAATTGTTTTCTTCAGGCTACATCGAGGTGACACAATCATTATCATTCTACTACTATGTTTCAACCTTCTGCCAGACCCACACATACGTCACACTGTAGTTAGTCGTATACGTTGTTAGTGTACTAACGATTACTATCCCTACTGAGCAGCCCAGAGTGTGTTTTAAGCTCATCGCTGTTTGTAGTTTTTTTGAGGTTCACAAATCTATTTTCATTTTTGATATGTCCAAGTGCTTTGCATGACAAGACAAGACATAAGGACTGAAAAAGATAGTGTAAGTGGGTAACAAGATAATCGGTATCAGTGAAACGGTGTATGAAGAAGGTGGTAAGACAATCAGCAATCTGAAAAGATATTTCAGACGTCCAGTAGAATACTTTGGGAAGTAATTTAGTTGGCTTACCAAACCAGCAACTTCAGTTTCCTAAGCTTCATTGGTATAAGATACTAATTCATCTGAAGCGGTCGAGAAGTACGGTTATTCCTTGAAATCCTAAGATAGCAGAAAGGTTTTATTCATCTTGATGACTAGCAATGGAATCCAAGACACGCGTTTTGTCCTATTTAGGACTCGTCAACTAGATGTACCTGCAACCCCCTGCGACTTGAACCCAGTGTCAATCGCTTCAAACGGTAAATTGTTACCCACTAGACCACTAGGGTACGACAGCCACATGTTGTGCAACAAGTATCAGGTGTTGTTTTGACACAGTATATCAACGTGAAATGACAAGTATCAAAACAACCAGAAGGGTTTATTCAGTAGTGGTACAACTAAATTGTGGGGTGACAGTCATACTGCTAGCTGTATGGCGTGTTGCAGCAATAAAGTGTTCCCCAAGGACAATCGGAATTCCGTGTTGATGTTGCCTTCCGTCATCAGAAAGAGGAGTAAGAAAAGATCGACGCTAGACAGAACAAACTCCACTCTGCCTCGAGATTTACAGGTTTGCATATCCTTGACGCGGAGGGACTGGAGACTATCACAACCGTACATCAAATTCTAAAAAACTGATGGTAAAGATAACCTTGAAAGTGTTAGACACTAGCACTCCACTACTATATATATATATATATATATATATATATATATATATATATATATATATATATATATATATATAAGCAAGAATCAGACGAAAATATTAAATAATCCAGAAAAAACACCGAAGGTTTTTTGTAAAGGTACATTATTATTATTATCAGTAGTATTGAGTAGAAAAAGAAAAGAATTAAGTAATGTACTGATGACAGTAGTAGTGGTGATGATGATGACAAGAAATGCCACATATACCTTTGCTTGCTCGATGATGAACCCAGAGAGAGAGAAAGTGAGATGCAAAAACGGAGAAAACCAATGAAATAAAATCAAACAAATCAATAAAGAAGTCTATGTACAACAAAGTGTTCTTTCAAACCTTTAAGTTCATCATCATTGTTACTACTATTAATACTTTTATTTATTTATTTATTTATTTGAATAGATAAGATAACATAAACTGACTGTATGGAGCAAGCAAGAGTAATGACTATATACATCATGAAGTAATGATATTCTCTTTTTTGATTCATTAAATTGATTCAGTAAAAGAAGTGAATATAAGTCGTGAATAATAATAATAATAGTAACAATAGTAATAATGATAATAATAAGGAGAACACAGTTATATATAATCAGGACTTACTTGTTGAAGTGTAAAGAATTGCAGTAGATTGAGTAGTAGTTACTCATTCACTTGTTTAGGTATACTAACAAGTTAACTTTATTACAGTTAGTCGTTATTTAGTCAATACTATCACTATTATTACTATTCTACACTTGTTTTGATCGTAAAAGTAGACTTTCTTCATCTTCCAACCAATGGGAACACAACTCAAGCTTGAGGATAACGCATATGATGATGAAGAAATTGTTTATCTAGCTAACTTCATTGTTTTAAATGACTAAAAATTGTTCATCATCAATGGTTGTTTCGCATGTATAACTGTACTGTAATTGATTGACACATTGTTAAAATTTCATGTATATGCGCATTCATATATGCATATTCTATTGTGAAAAGGCCAATGGAGAGAAAAGACAATGTGTCAATCAATTACAGTACAGTTATACAATTGAAACAACCATTGATGATGAACAATTTTTAGTCATTTAAAACAATGAAGTTAGTTAAATAGACAATTTCTTCTTCATCATCACCATGTGCGTTACCCTCAAGCTTGAGTTATGTGTTCCCATTGGTTGGAAGATGAAGAAAGTCTACTTTTACGATCAAAACAAGTGTAGAATAGTAATAATAATGATAGTATTGACTAAATAACGACTAACTGTAATAAAGTTAACTTGTTAGTATACCTAAACAAGTGAATGAGTAACTACTACTCAATCTACTGAAATTCTTTACACTTCAACAAGTAAGTCCTGATTATATATAACTGTGTTCTCCTTATTATTATTATTATTATTTTTATTATTGTTATTATTATTGACGACTTATATCCATTTGTTTTACTGAATCAATTTAATGAATCCAAAAAGGAGAATATTATTACTTCATGATAGGAAAGTAAGAATGCACAACAATATAATCCAATTATATATAGTCAATATTTGATGTCTCTGATGAATCACGATTATTTGTAGGATAAATACGATCTTGATGACGATGAGATGAATTAGATATTGATCTATCTCCATGATTATGTCTTGAATATGAAGAATTATCACTAGTAGTATGATCATCACGATCTCTTGAACGATATGATGATGAATCTCGATAACGTGAATTGTATTCATCATGTCGATGTGAATTCTCTTTCAACTGTTGATGTTGATGTTTACGATCATAACGTGAATTATGCTGAGAATGATGAATATAATAAGAAGGAATTTTTGATGTAGATGATCTATATTGATCAAAATTATTTGAACTTTTCGATTGATGATAAGAATTACGATATGAATGTGAATGATGACGATTCTCATAATAACCACCGTAATCACGAGATGATTCTCTAGGCTTTTTAGACAAACAGCTACTACTACTACTACCAGTATTATTACTAGTGTGAGATGAAGAAGAAGAAGGAGTAATGTGTTGTCGTGACTTGTGTAGTTCAGTTTCTATTTTAGTTAACGATGATGATGATGATGGATGATCAGTACGAGGAGGACTTAACTCTTTCACATCATCAGTAATTTTGATCGGTTGTAAATCCACTGGAAGGTTACTACCAACACCATTATTATTATTATTATTATTATTATTATTATTATTAGATATTTCTTCCATGAGATCAGTATTTTCATCTAATAAAGGTGTACCAATATCGATTTGAGGCGATATACTACTACTACTCATAGGCATCGATTTATCATCCATTAACATTACTGAAGATACTACTACTGGTTCAGTATCAATAGTTTGTAGTATTTCATCTTTATTAAGAAGTGAATCATTACATTCAATTATTGTAGACTGATTTACAGGATTTTGAGTAAAATAAACATTGGATACTTTTTCATTATTATTAAATTCATTGGATTGATATAATGAATTATCAATTAATTTATAATTGATTTGATTTAAATTTGTTGAATAATCTTCAGAAACTAATGTTTCTACAGCAAATTTTGTTAAAGATTTACATTCTTTTTCATGAATAAATATTTCATTAGGATTGTTTATTGATAAGGCAATATCTTGACATTGATGTATAAATGTAGCTTGATTATTTACAATTGGAAGAAACATTTCAACTTCAGTTATCATTATTTTATAGTCATTATTAATTGTTACTTCATTATACAAAGATAATTTTTCATCAGGAATATCTTCAATCATTTCTAAATGATTTGTATATTCATTAATTGTTATAGAATCTTTGGAAAGAAGACTATTTGAATTGTTCAAAGTATAAAGAGATTGAGAAGGAATAATTTGTAAATTATTATTATTATTATTCATTGAAATAACTACAGGTTTATTCATAGTTAGAGTTATTCTATTCATTTCATCAATAATTTGATAAGATGAAATATTCATAATATTTAATGGTTGTAAATTTAAACAAATATCATACTCTTCAATTAAATAATGTTGACATAATTGTATCGATGATTTTCCATGGATTATTATATCATGTTCAATTGAAGGAGATTTTGATGTATGCATAACAGTTAAGCAGGAATCAGTATTATTATTATTATTATTATCCTGTACAATCGTCTCAGTAATATGATTCAATAATTCTGTAGGCTCAGGAATTAATCGTTTACGTGTAACTGAACGTTTACGTTTTCTAGATGATCCTAAACATGATGAAGATATAATTGAATGATCATCTATAGATAGATTAGGTGATGTAAATTGACTATTATTACTATTTGATGATGATGATGATGATGATAATGATTTCATTAAACGATCCATTGAATCATCATTTTGAAAATCAATTTTTGTAGTCGAATTCATTGATACAGGTGAACATTCATTATTTATTACAGTAAATGTTTTTAGAATACTACTACCAGATGAAGAAATTCCAATATTTTCTTCTTTACAAGTATTAACACCATTAGGAGAGATAGAATCCTCTGAAATTTGATTAGAAGAAATTTTAACTTCATTACATATATGACTTGAATCAATTAATGATGAATATTTGTCTAGACTATTTTCAGATATATTATTATCTTCTAATTGTGGTGACATCTCAGATATACGTGCACGTTTAGCTAATGTATTCATAGATTCATTTTTATCAGAAAATGAAACTATCTCATCCAATGTAACATTGATTACCGGTTCACTAAAAGATATAGGATTAGATGGAGTAGATTTCACTGATTTAGCTCCACCTCTTCCTCTTCCACGATTAGATCGACTTGGAAATCGACTACTACTAGAGCATAAATCATGTCCTGATAGCATCTCATCGTCTACAACTGACTCATTCTCAATTGATGAACATGAAACACCAGTTACAATTTCAAGTGTTGTAGACTGTACTTGTGATGATGTTATTGTTGACTGGAGAGCATTAGTTTGACGCTTACGTTCCAGCCAATCGACAACTCGTGCAAGTTTTTCACCCTATATTACAACAAAATAAAAATAAAAAGTTGTATAGAATAAATAAGAAAAAACAAATTAGAAGAGAAAAAGAATTCCTAAGAATTGTGTTCAAAGTAGGCGGTGGATAATGGTTAATAGTGGAATCAAGGACCCAAGTTTCGCCTTGTTTAGGACTGGTTGGCTGGATGTACCTGCCTCACAGTGAGCGTTGTTGTTCGTGACTCCGTGGTCTACTGTATAACACTTTGGTGTTTTAGGGAATCGGTCCTGGATTTCAGTCTAAGTAGCCAAAACATCGCCCACTGTAAGGTAGCAACATCCAGCTGACGAGTCCAAAAAATACCAGCAAACGCGCGTCCTAGATTCCACTGCTAGTGCCACTATCCATCATTACTATCAAAATTGAAAATATAGGTTACATCAAGACGTCTACTCAAGAGCCCATACAACTGATAGGAAGCCAGATCGATCATGGTGGTGTTAGTGATATGGCGGAATCAGAAACCGACGAAATCTTGGCATGGATACAGAAGTCTCGCTTTGCCTCCGTACACCATATATACTGCTACTGCTAACATATACCATAGCCGTTAACGGACTAAGTGTAGCCCACAGAGGTTCACTACTCTATGCCTGTGAAGCATGCCGGATAGTGATACGATGTGTTTATCGTTGGTTTGATTTCGTCTACAGCCAAACGAAACAATGTTTCTCCTTATAGTTGAAATTAGTTCTGGTCAGAAAAAAAAAGTGGTTAGCAGAAAAAGAAATGCAGCATACCATAGATACCTCTTCTAAATGCCTTTCGAATAGGCTGTTTCCCTACTCCAGGGTTGGAGTCACGTACTTTTATGACTATATCTAAACGCTTCGCATTACGTAATGGAACATAGGGCTTCATTAGCACATCTCCAATGCGCTTTGTTCTCTGAAATCTTTTGAACCTGGCTCCACGACACCCCACAACCTCTCATTTCTTCCTCTCACGATCTCCTCCTCAGCTCAGACGCCCAACTCATTGCTTCCCATCTGGGTTCCACTCGAGTAACTGGCTTGGCGCGTGATGTCCCCGAATGGTCTTCTCAGTGAATGCCCTATCCATCTCCACTTCCTTCCAGTGCATATTTGCTCAGTGATAGGTTCTTGCTTTGTTGGTTCGTTGCTGGCCAGAGTTCCTTGTTGCTTATTCTTTCTGACCATCTGAGCTTCAGTGTCGAGTGAACGTAGGTGGCAGCTGTTAATGAATATCTGCAGTTCTTTGAAAGTCCCTTTCGTAACGCGCTAATTCTCTCAACCAAACAGAAGCACTGACTTGACATTGGTGTTGAAAATGGGGATCTTGTCCATGCTTTATGCTGAGTGCAGTGCACAAGATCTCCTTACTGGTTTCAGGTTAATGAACGTCTGTCTTGCTTTCTTTCTGATCCTGACTTTGACGTCCTCATCTGTGACTGTGCCGTCTGCAGTTGAAACGATGTTGCCTAGGTAGATGAAAGAGGCTACTTTCTTCAAGTTTCTCCCGTTGATGGTGATTGGAGCTTGTTGTTGTTGTTGGTGTTGGTTGGGTAAATTCATCACCTCCGTCTTCTCTACGTTCACTTGAAGTCCTATCTTCCCTGGTTCTTCAACCAACTTGTCAGTTTTCGCCTGTAGATCTTCAAGTTTGTGCGACATCAGACACAAGTCATCAGCGAAATTCAAGTCTTCTAGGTTCTTTTCCGCGGTCCAGCGTATCCACATGGATTAGTCTTAAAGCTCAATTTCGAGTTTGACAACTACAAAACCATGTACAATTTAGTAGACTGTATGTTTATTTTAAAAAAAAGATGATGTCACTAGCTTGATCTCCACGTCTACTAGTCATGACGCAACGAGGAGTTGAAAAGATGTTGAGTGAACAATGAAAAGCAAACATCAACAGGTAATAAACGTGTATCGATATCCAATGATTATCTGACTATATAATGCAGTGAATACTTTGATATTGTTATAAAACAATCTAACCTTTCATTAAATGTGCATATTACTGCTCATTGTGAAATAAAATAATACAGAAGAGGATAATTAAATCCATCGATATTGGCGAATGCCAACAAGTGCGAAATCTAAGTAGGGGATGTTGTCGACTGCCTCCATAGTTACTTCTTAAAACGTCTTTCTAGTGAAAGTCAATAAACCCATAACTTCCTTCTAATAGCCTCTAACCAACTAACATTCATCAAAGTCCACCACGATGCTGACCCTTCTAGCTTGACGAATACATCGTAAATTCATCGGTCAGCACTCAGAACTAGACAGCATAAAACTGGTTGCTCTCCAATCTAAGGTAAATTCAATTAAACATGAATAGGGAAGATAGAATTATGAATTGGAGTATAATCCTGAAACAACTCACCTTTTGTTTCAAACTACCCATTGTTGTAACAACAGGACTCTTCTCTTCATTGTTTGAACTACTTACAGATGCAGTAGGCTCTTCAGGTGAAGTTTTATTCACAAATTCTTTGTCATCATCATCATCATCATCATCTTTAACAAACACTGTGAAAGGTGTTTGGTCTTGAATGAGTAATTCATCTGATGAATATTGTCGAGGTAAACTACCACGAATACATTGATTATCAGGTTTACGTAGAAAACAATAAGGCTAAATAAATAAATAAATAATTACAAACAAAAAGGTATTATATATATTTACATTATGCTGGATTGATAGTACAATATGAATTATATGTTTTTAAAATACAAGTTATACTGAGTATTCTCACTTTACAAAGTTTTAAAAACTGTCGAGTTATACAGTGGTGGTAGAGGTAATTCGAATAAAAATCTTTATAGATCTGACTACAGATTTATGTTGAATTAATGAAGTCTTTGAAAACGACTATCTAAATTCTTCAACAGGATCCTATGAGATAATCTAATAAAAACTAATAATTGGGACTTATTTAATAATAAATAGACAGTCCCTAAGAAAATTTTTAACCATGAATCTAGAATTCAAAAGGAGACACAACAGTCGAAGTGCTGAAAAATCGTCTATCAAGATGTATTAATAGTAGTTTCTATGCTGTTAGACTGAGATTGATATTCTCCAGCCGCTGTCTGATTCGTCAATGCATGAAGGATAGGCTTCCCACTTATATCCACTTCTATGTGTGTATCTATAAGTTCATATGCTCCTGTGGAGTTGACTATATTGCACGTTGTAAGTGGGCCCTCTGAAAACGTGTAGCTGAATATTACCCAGTTTGGCTTATCAGAGGTGAGCCAAGGAAAACGACTTCATTCATATGTGAACATCTTGTTGAATTGGGACACTCAACACCTCAAGATTCATCCTTTAAAATAACTTACAAAGTTAAATTGAACTACTCCAAAGGTTTACGTTTCTACCACTTATACATAGCTGAAGTATTAGCTATACATGAACAAAAACCGAAACTTTGCACTGAGAAACGTTTTGTGAAGCTACTTTCTCCACCTTGGCCTTAACAATTCACTTTTGGTTGCTTTTGTCAATTTCATTTCACTTTGGTATACTTCTCTTTTATTACATCATCATTATTATCACCAATTTTTCACTTCATTAATAACATTTGACCCACACTTCACTCTTTAATATCAATTCACTCCTTAATCATTGACCTATTGTCCATGTTTCAGTTTAATTATCACCGTTTTACAATTCTTTGACAGCACTTGTCGCATATCTCATCACTTGTTATCAATTCGTTCCTCCTTATTCAGTGACCCATTTCCTATCTCTTTCACTTGAACAAATACCACCACCGCTCCACCGATTGTATATTTTGCATATTGACTGAGCAACTCTCTTTTTAGTGAAATTATCTATCACTTTACTGAGTATAAATACAACTGTACAGCTTGATAATGAAGTCGTTGAAAAGAAGATGCTTCTTCTTCGCTGATACATGCCTTCTCCCTGTCAATGAATAAATGGGTATATTTCGTCAGTTGAAAGTTTAATGACTTCAAGGTTAGTTTCATGTCAACTTCATCGCTAATCCAAACTCATGAACAGTTGGGTCGAATATTACTCTCTCTCTCTCTCTCTCCCCCAGGTGGTCTCTACAAACTAAACGATAAATCAAGTGGATATAAGAATTTTAACGGTAATAGTGAGATTTCTTGGTCTTACTGTATTCTCTGAACTGGATTGTTTATTCGTGAAGAAGCTTTCATCGTCTTTCTAGACAGTGACATCATCAGCACTAACTTCAGTAACTTCATACTGAAATTAGTCCTGATGACGTCGGCTAGGAGAAAGACGATGAAGGCTTCCTTACGATTAAACAACTCAGCTAAGAGAACACAATACAACCAAGACCATCCCCACCTGAGCTAAAAATATTCTCTACTATTTTATAGTGAGTTTTCAGTGATGAACTCGAGTGTTAAGGGTATATTTTTTCGTATTTTATCTTAGATCATTTGAAAAAATCTATTTACCACATACATAATCTGCTTCCTAGTAATGATAAATATTTTCTTTAAGAAGTGAATAGTGCCGACAAAGAAAGATGAAAAGAAAAAAAGGAGGGAGTTGAAGAGACTGAAAAGGAAGACCCTACTATCATCAAAAGAACCTTTTCATTTAAAGTCATTCATAGAGTGAAAAGAAACCATCTAAAGGTTGTATGTCTTCGTATTCTCTGCATCGCCGAAGCTCTTGCCATCCAAATGGAGAAGCCTAAACTGTGTAAACAAAAGATCTTAGTTTTCAGTCCCCTTTACACCCCCGCTTTTTTCCTCTTCACTTCTTAAATAATCTACTACTCATTCTTGTTGATATGCTCTGCTTGATCACAATTCAGTTTCAAAACTTTTTGTTCAAACTTATCAGTTTTAGGTTTTTAGAAAAAAATTCTAATGAGAGGTCATTTATTGACACTAATTGTGTTGTCATGCTAGACAAACCGTTTTTAACTATCAAATCTTTACACTAGAAAAATATTTTTTTTATCAATGAAAACAGAGTGGACATAAAAATAAATTTCAAAAAAAAAGCAGGAAAATGCCCAAAGTTTAGTACGGACGAAACACAACGAGGATATGTTACGTCAATTCAATCGTTGACCATAGCGAGATGATGAAAAATAGAATGCATCCTGTAGAAAAGTCAACCTCGCCTGGAGGAGATCGTGTGAAGAAGAAATGAGAGCTTGTGGGCTGTCGTGGAGTCAGGTTCAAAAGATTGCAGAGAATAGAGTGGAATGGAGATGTGCTACTGAAGCCCTATGTTCCACTAGGAACCCAATGTAGAAAAGTCACAGTGAGGTTTTAAGCCTACTACACTAAAGTGTATATCATGAGTTTACAAATTTGTTGATCACATCGAAAACTCAATTGGAATCTCGAAGACTAAAAACAAAATGATACTGAGTACATTGGAAATCTCCTTTAGAGTAATCATTTGTCTTTTGGTCACGAGCCTCAAATTAAATCAATATTTTCAACATTGTTGTTCTTTAACATGTTGCGTTTATGTCAAGCCACCGCTTATCTCATCATACCATCCAAAGGGTAACTGGATTAGGTGCAAAGATGGTTCCGGATAGCCAAATTTAAGACTTGATATCCATAGATAAAGTCTTCAATTAATGGTATACGTATTGTGTAGAGATATAAACTGCCTGGTTAGGCTCTTCAAAACGACAGGAATCACTTGTTGAGAAGTCATGATGACATGACTGAAAATTGGTCACAATCGTGTAGATGTATATACACTGTGGGTGTTTTCTATATCATCCTTTTTTTAATGATGACAAAAGTGTCGTCTACATAACGAATCCAAATTTTTGGTTTGATCACAGGTAGAATAATGGCTTCTAGTCTCTGAATCACTGCTTCTGCTATTAATCCCGATATCGGTGATCCCATTGGAGTTCATTTCATCTGTTTGTATATCTTATCGTTGGATTGGAAGTATGTTGTCATACAAAGGTAGATGAGTTCCATCAGACTTGAACATTTGAGTTTTATCTAATTTATTTTCATTCGTTTTCTATCCACTTGTTCTTTGAATAGTACTATCAAGTAATGGTAACTTGAGTCAATGTACTCTTTGTTCAACGTTCTACACGTTGATATAATTTGTAAGTCTCTATTGACTGATGACGCTTTCGTACACGAAAAGAAGATGAAAATTCACGAAAATATTTGGATAATCCTTATTGAAAAGTCAAATTGAACAGTGAAAAATACGATAGGAAAAGAAAAATTTAACTGAGAAAATGTGTAATCTCATTCTACAATTTGAAACTTCAATAAATATTGGATAGTGTTGAATCAAATGCAGAAATTTGTCGATTATGAAATATATTGTCATTTCTTTTCTTATGTGATATATCATATGAACTTCTAGGCTATCAAATAAAAGTTGACGAAATACAATAAACCAATATGGATGTGAGGATAGATATTCAACGACAGTGTTAGATGAAGGTTTAGCTATTTATCCGGGGAACTGATAGAAGTAGAAAATTGTGAACTATTTGATACTGATTCAATGGTTCAATGGTAAGGTGCTAGCAATAGAAATTGAATGTTCTAGTCATGTGTGCACGCTGCTGCACGCTGCACGACACCAGAACGAAACAGCTTCCCAGTGTTCCTAGATTTTTAGTATTTCTCTAAATTATCTCAGTCCATGGTGAACACCGACTGAAAACAAATATTAGTTACAAGAAACATTAAGAATATTCTCCTATGAGGTTAGTTGATAAACAGCTGATATTAGGGATTCTCCAAGAATCTATTGAGAAGTAACAGCTAATTAAGTAAATCAAATTAAAGGATGAATACCAACCGATGAGATTGGAAAATAGTTTAAATCACGATACTTGCCAGCATAATCAGTTGTAAGTGAAAGAGTAACATACTTGAAAATCTTCTATCCATTTTTACAAGGATATACTACTGTTGTACAGTAATGAATAGAAATAAATAAAAGTAGGGTGAAATAGCTAACCTATACTGTACCCTCTCCCCTCCCCTTAACCCTTCATTACATCAACTAATCATTTAACTGTTGTCCATTCTCAGAATAGAAATCATTGGAAAAAAGGAATCAACTCGACGAAGGTTAACAGTTGAACATCAATAAAATGTGAATGGTCAAAAGTAGGTAAACTCAAGTATTAGAAAGAAAGAAAAAAACAGGAAGTTTACTTAGTTGTGGCTAGCAGAGGAATATACGATGCATGTTTCTTTCTATTTAGGAGTCATCAGCTGGATGTACCAACAAATAGTAATAACCAATACCTGTTATGGTCTAATGGGGATAGCGGTTTGGCGTTTGAAGCGATAGGTACAACGTTTCAATCACAATAGGAATAACATCATTCACTAGGGTAGGTGGGTACATCCAGCTGATGAGTCTGAAATAGGATAAAACGCATGTTCTCAGTTCCTCTGGTATATTATCATAATAAATGTTTAACTAGTATCAAGGCATCCGTGTATACGAGCCCATATACTAATAGAGATTGAACCATTCAATTCAGTAAAACAACAGAGAATCCTCTTAGTATATCAATAAAAACATGAAGTATATAGAAAATATCAACAAACCTTCATATTGACTTTTAGATAACCAGGTGATATTTCATCAAATCTATAATCTTCACCTTCATTGAATGATTGTTCAAATAATTTTTCACAAACAAAAAAGTGTTGTAATTCATCGATTATAGGTGTTGTATTATTATTATTATTACAATTTTCATTTATTGATATAAATTCATGTATATGTTCAATTGATAAAAGATCAGCAGGTCTACCAATTCGATAAGCTGAAGGACATAATACTGTACATCTACCTATCCATGCATTTAATGGTAGAATAACACGTCTAGCTTCATCATAGACAACTTCATAAAGATGCCAATATTGTGGACATTTAACATTAGTTGATTGAGGTAAATCATATGGGCGAAGAAATAAACCACCTTCTAACCAGGCTATACCACTAGAATAATATTACAAACAAACAAAACAATAAGATAATATTGATGATTATATTTATTAGTAAATAAATAACCAATATACACAAGTCTGATATATATAAGTTTATGTAGTAGGCTATCAAACTAAATTTATTGTATGCAGAAGTGGGATACAACAGTGAAATTTCATTAGTCAAAATAATCGAAGTGTAACATATTCGTTTAGTTGAAAGGAAAATTATTCAATAAAAAAAAGAGGTTAACTGTGATACAAAACTTGAAGATAACAAAATAAAGTTACTATGGAATACTGCTGTTAAGTAACACCTCTTTCCCTAGATGACATTCTTTTTAAAACAACTTTATCTTAGTCGAATTTCTATACAAAGAAGAAAGAAAAACCCTAATAACTATTCACAAATCTCTAAATAGAATTAATCTACCGCTCATTTGTGACTGAGATTCCAATGAGAAGTCGCGATCGCAGTAGAATAACATGGAGATCGTCAAGTTAAATAATCAACAATGACATTGGGTGATGGTCACAGTATATCGTGAACTCACAAAAGTAGAAAATATGGACAACTGGCTCATGACACAATGGTCCAATGGCCACGGAACCCAGAGGTCCTTGGATAAATCCCTGATGAGGTGGAGTGGGCACGAACTGTTGAGAAGCCTCATCGTAGGACGACCAGGTAATACTGCGTAACAGTAAAAACTTGCCATACATCATATCAATACATCTGCGCCACTGATATAGGTTCTGAACCAAATCACCTAGAGTCTCCAGCCACTGGTTCCTCTTGTCCCGCTGACCCCAACCACCTAGTCTGCATCGCCCTACATGGCTGAAACGAACAGTCAGAGACTTCATACATTGGTGCCATGCTATAGTCTGGCTACCTCGGGCTTTTTTCCAGCCTGCATACCTACTTCAACCAACATTGTGTGACAAGGCAGTCGGCGATTAGGCATACGTAACGTGTCCCAATCATCTCAGTAGATGAAGGTTCATAACCTCGTCAACTAATTTACCTTTACTCCCTAAAACTCTACAACCAACTTCTACACTAGTCACACCATGATACCACGGAATACGGCTTACACTACAAAACTAAGACAACCGTACTCAAACATACTAACCCTTCTCATGTCTTCCACATTCAATGACCACGTTTCACACCCATACAGAACAACACACCGGATCGCTGTGCAGTACACCACACCCTTCCTAAAAGACAATCGCATATCACGGCAGCACCACAGGTTGCGTAAGGTGGAAAAAGTCAACCGAGCCTTTTGTAGCCGGGCAGAAATTTAGTCGGTCACTGACCAACGCATCACGACTGATCCTGCTTTCCATGTAGTTGAAGTGGTGAACACACTCAACCACAAGTGAAGACCAGTTCTCGAACAACAATTTCCATTTGGGTGGTGTAAAGCACACCCCAAACATTCTCAAATTCACACTCAAAGTGTTCAGAACACTCTGCATTGTGACAGTCTTCACCTAACAGGACTATGTCATCTGCGTGTTCTAGGTCTAACGAAAATTCTCCCACGATTACGTCAACCTACACGTAGTCAGGTAACGAGAAGGAGACCTCTATAAGAATATCTATGATAGAACTGTTTAAAAATGGAGGTAGTGGGCAGCCTTGACGGACAACACTCGAAGAGCACACACCCCGGAAACCTCACCATAGGCTCAAACATGCCCACAAGTCTTCGAGTACAGAGCCTTCAGTAGTAATAAAGTGATGTAATGTACTTACTCGGCACGCCTTTCAGTGAGACATTGTCATAAGACTTCTCGATCAACGGATTCGAATGCCGCCTTCACGTCCAGAAATACAGCTAGTGTCGAACGTCGGTAAGCGTGTCTATGTTCCAGGACCTGGTGCAGTGTAAATATTTGGTCGGTACACCCACGGCCGGGTCTAAAGCTTGCCTAGTTTTCTCGGGCTTGCTGTTCCCGAGCTCTAATCACGCATCCCATGATTATAGAACCTAAAATCTTAGACACTATGTTTGTCAGGCTGATTCCTCTGTGGTTATCACAAGAGGATTCATCGCCTTTCTTGAAGACTGGAATAATCAGTGATTTAGATCAGTCAGAGGGGATCGTGTTTCATTCCCGTATACTGGTTAACACTTCCGTTAAGCTGACTAAGAGCACCTAACCATCATCCTTGTATACCTCTGGAGTTAGTCCATCTAGTCCTGCCACCCCTTCCTACGGCTTTATCGACTTCTGCAAGTGTTGGGGGGCATATCTCAATGTTCTATTCAGGTTCCGACTGGATAGTGGGTAACGCAATGGTGGCTGGAGACCAGTTAAACTGTTCGCCGAAGTGTTCTGTTCATCGTTCTACTTGTCGCCCTGTTCCAATGTTTCTCCACTGATGTCAGTCTATGATCAATGACAACCGAATTAAATCCTTTGTTCAGGTAATACACTACTAATAACAGAATAGAGATGCAGACCAGATATACAATAACAATTTGTATCCGAAAGCTTACAGACGTGAATTCTAAACATGCTTATACAGTCATTGATAAGGTTCACGAAACCTCAAATCTCAAGTCAGTGAAACACTTATCATGTCTCCTTCCCCGTACTGCAGATGCTTGAACAATGTGTCACACTGTACACTATATCATCATATCTCTCAATTGTAGGATTACCCTCGACTCTATGGACAGAATTTTATTTCAGAATTGTGTAACAGAGCGGTGGTGCCACCAAGTCCGCCCAAATCTCTTAAGTCCTACACAACATCACCAACCTATCCAAAATGAAGTCATTCGTCTTCACTTTTGCGAATCAGTAGAGGAGCAAAATAGTGTTTCTAAATTTCGATATTCTTACCCAATTTTCTCATCATTGACATTTTAACAAATACTTCTGGAAGATTTATGGTGGTGGTGTAGATCACAGACACCATATATAGACGAAATCGTCATATTGTACAACAAAATACAGGATAGACGTAAGTAGACGATTACCTGCCTCTCTATCTGGCAGAAATGTTCAAGCATAACACCTATGTCAGTAAATTTTCAGAAATATCTGAGATATTATGAGTGGGGGTGAAGGTGTAACAGACGAATTTTCTAATCAGATGCCGAAGGTCACTCTCGCCCATGACAACTCTGCATTTTTTTTCGACGTTTCAGTAAATGAATTCATCTCATTCGTTACAACACGATTCATAACAGTGGAATATATCCAACTGATATACTCCCCCTCTATTGGTTCGATTCTTCATTTGAAGTCACTCAGTCTATGCAACGAATAATTATGCAAAACTGTTGTCTCTTACACACTGTAAATCATTACTGTATCAAAGAAAAACTAGTAAAATGGATATCTCTTAGGCTAGAAAACCAAACGCGGATGATAGAAATCTTGAGAAACCATATGTTACCATTCAAGAAACGTCCTTATAGTTAACTATTTGCTAGCTTTACGAATAATTGATGCACGAAAAGAAATGATTAATTCATGTTATGTCGTTTAGACGAGGAAGGTATTTTGTGCTAAGTAAACGAATGTTGGTGAATCATAACTCTCTAAGCGGAGTTGATGCCACTACATTTTGGCAAACAGACAATGAGAATGAATGAATGAAACAATGGTAAAATTTAGTAAGATGACCTATGTATACGTCTGTGCAATAAAACGATTCTCAGCCATATCAACTACAGACCACTGAGTTCAGCTGCTACACACACTCCAACTCAACCGGGAAATCTACATTTCCTTACACGGCTTAGATCAACAATCAGAGACTTTATGAAATGATGTTGTGTTTCACTTAGATAGCTACTACGCTTCATTTCTATCAAAATTTTCCGATGGGACAGAGAGTGATTAGATATGCACAACATATATCCCAGACGTTTGGGGTCGATGAGAGTTTAAAACCGCATCAATATGCAAGCAATATACTATGAAGGCAACAGTAGTTAAACATTGGCAGTGTTTTCAAGTGTTAGACGACCACCATCATCATACAATAGTAATAATAGTAATGGTGATAATACCTTAATTTATAATCTCACTAATCAATCCTACAGACTGAAATCCAACCTAGTTTCATTTATGCATATATATATACTGAGCAATAAGACTCACTTAATATCCTTCCATAGACGATAAATTCGAATGATTACACGATCATAAGCTGATTTCACTGGAGACTGTTGTGATTTTTCTAAAAGGCATTTTATATCCAATGATCCTTCTTTTGAAAGATCTTGTGAAGTATTCAAATGATTCAACCAGAATCGATTAATGAATGCATAATCATCTGTACGAATTTGACAAGTTCCATCAGGACTTTCAAGTGTCCAAAATTCATGTTCACCTTTTACTACACTGTCTTGTAAGTTGAAAACAGCATCTAAATCATTCAAGGTCATAGCTGCTGAAAGTGAACGAGGATATTCCTAGGATAAAAATTAATAAAGATAAAATCCATTAACCAGTAATAATAAGAATAATAATGATAGTGAAAATATAATGTAACTCGACCTGATGCGTATTTCTGTACTATGAGATTATGAGTCACATTTATAGTATGAAGGCTGGTAATACTATGTGCATGCTCAGATAAGCAAGATTCAAACCCGGAACCCATAGCTTGAAAATCGAATCGTTAGGTCAACAAGTCAATAGTAAAGTTATATGATAGTGATGAAGTGTAAATAACATAACAATAGCTCAGACTAACCATCAAAGACTTCATGTATTGATGGTATGTTTTAATCTGACCACCAAGAACCATTTTCCAGCTTACAACCTACTTCAGTTAACATTACACGACGAGGTAGGCGGTGACTAGATATGTGTAACACATGTCCCAGTCATTGTAGTCGATGAAGATTTACAACTTTCCTTTCCTCACTAAAACGTTTACGTTATTAACGTGATGACACCATGATACAAAGCCTATGGTATGAAGGCGATAGTAGTCAAACACCCGAAACACTTATGTCCTCTACCTTCCTATACTGATGCTTTACATACAGAGAGTAGAAAAGAGAGAATTGTAGCGCAGTATACTTGACCCTTAAAAAGTGATTGGATATCACGGTGACGCTAAAATTGTTACAGGAAGGATACACTAACAGTTGAATAAGGTTCGATAATCCTAGTAGACATAAATACTGAGTATTTATCTTCCTTAAATAATACAATAAGCGTTTATTAAGGTAAAATTCCTTTTCTTTTTGTAAAGATTAACTACGAACCTCGAAATGTAGAGTTTGAATTCAGATTCTAAACAAAAGATGACATATTTATTTACTAGTTCAGTTAGTAAGGCATCACAGAATGGTATTCTATGCGTGTATTTATCAAATCCAGTCACAGGAGAATTGATTTATACTCTCTCATTGTCAATATTTGGCATGATACTGAATACTACACAATAGAGATAATGACATTTTACTATTACTAATCTATCAGAAAAACTGTACACTTGAAATCAGGAAGTGAAAGATTTACAAACAATCAGGCATCATATCTCAGTGGCTAAAAAGCCTAAATTATGTTAGAAAATATACTCAGTAAATTTCAAGTAACAGAATATGAAGGGAAAACAGAGAATCCAACATCAAACATGGCAAAATAAAATTTAGGTCAAGCCATACGGAAATAAAACTAGTCATCGAAATAGTCACATTAGACAACGAAAGAAAATTTCCTTTCAAACGAATCATTTTCAAAAAACTGCACGATCGTAGTCCAATTTACAACAGAATATATATTGATTAATGATTGATAGTGGCTAGCAGTGGAATCCAAGATGTGCATTTCGTCCTATTTTGGATTCACCAGTCAGCTGGATATACCTGCTTCCCAGTGAGTGATATTGTCCCCATAGGGATTCGGACTCGGGAGTGACCTCTTCAAACGCCAGGGCGTTATCTACTACACCACCGAGCCACGATAGCCACTCCTTGTGCTACGGGTATAGTCTTAGTATAATTGTTTTTATATGATACATCCAGCTGACTGGTGAGTCCCAAATAGGACAAAATGCGCATCCTGGATTCCACTGCTAGCCACGATCTATCATTAATATAATTAGAATGCAGGCAATATCGAGGCGTCAGCACAGGAACCCATATGCCAATAGAGACCGATCAATTCGGTCCAAGCAACAACGGTATCATATAAAAACAACTATACTAGAAGGTCGACTCACCACAAATCGCTTATACGATCACAATAAATAAAGAAATGAATAAATTGTATGAGAGAGATACGACCAAGGCAGAACTAGAGATTCAATGTCTCTTCTGAACACAAAGATCAGGCTTGAACCACTGGTTTGCCAAAGCCTCTGTTGTGTTAAGGTGGCGGATACACACTCCCTTCGAGTTGAAATGTTTGACTTCACTTTACAAATGACATTGACAGAAGACTCTCATACAGTGTGGTAACCAGAATTAACCAAATGCTCAATAATAAAGCTCTCAATAGCCTTGCAATTACCGCATAAATGTAGGATGTTTTGAATTTCCTATATGCCGCCTCGAGACAACAAAAAGGGCCAGTATACGCATATTTTTCGCGGTAACCTTTAAGGTCACTCTAACAACGACTAAAATAACTGAATGATGATTGAAAGTGAAATGGAAATTTCGACCATGGCAGAATTCGAACCAGCGACCAACGGGTTTCCGGCCCGATGCTGCTCTATCAATGGAGCTAGGAAACCTGACTACTGACCAGATTTTTATTTCACTTCAATCACAAGTGAGGTTTTGACCGACTACCATATGAATTTGTGAAGCGTGACTACCGCTTGATTGTACTCATATTGCCTAGCCGCAGTCAGGACTTCTCATCCCAATCCAAGCCTAACTGAATTAGAGACGTGGGGTATCATATTGATTATTTTGATTATCTGAGTCGTGGTTTGTCAGAATTGTATTTATATACTGGGTGATGAAATAAAATTAAATGAAAATTTCGCCCGCGGCCGGACTCGAACCAGAGACCACAGACTGAAAACGAAGTCTCTCCCATAAAATACAAAACTATAACTTTTTGAGATGAGTGAGGATTTGGTTTTAAATTTAGAAGTAGTATTCATCATGGACTGACATCAGTTGGAGAACCATTGGAAATCTGGGAGCACTGGACACCTGTTTCATCCAACTAGTATGAGAATCCTCAGCAGTACACACCCACGATCCCACCAGGGATCGAACTCAGGACCGTCAGGGTTTCATGGCGAACGCGTTAACCATTCAGCTACTGGGTCGGTTTCCACTGGTTCACAATTTCGTACTTCTGTCAATTCACGACATAGTGCGACTGTCACCCAACGTCTTCCTTCAGTTAGCATCCACTTCACTTCCGACTGGTTGACCCCACAGGTCACGGCTTCTCATTAGAACTTCCTAACATCCATCTGGAAGCAAGTCACTAATCAGCACTATAGAGTAATGTATTTTTCAGATGAATGGGGATTTTTAATTTAGAAGTAGTATTCATCATGCACTGACATCAGTTGGGGAATCATTGAAAATCTGGGAGCACTGGACAGCTGTTTCGTCCAACTAGTATGGGATTCCTTAGCAGTACACACCCACCCAGTGGCTGAATGGTTAACGCGTTCACCGTGAAACCGTGACAGTCCTGGGTTCGATCCCTAGCCGGGTCGCGGGTGCGTACTGCTCAGGAGTCCCATACTAGTAGGATGAAACAGCTGTCCAGTGCTCCCAGATTTTCAATGGTTCCCCAACTGATGTCAGTGCATGATGAATACTACTTCTAGAACTATAATTGTTAACTTCAGTAATTGTTAGGATGGTCTTTAGAGGTTTCAACATAGAATAACCAACAAATACGGAAGAGGTTTACAACACAGTAACAATAAATTATAGCAGCCCATTTTGTAGGCTAATATGTTTCAAAATGACACAAGATTCCGAATTAGAAACTATGAAAGAAGTTAAATTTTCTCTACGAAATGAATCAGGCTGTTAAAAAATGTTTGGTGTCAAACTGACTCCTAAGAAATTTAATACTCACAAGAAGCAAGTAAATTAGAGGTGATACCATGACACATCCTAGGATAAGATACTCTTGTTCGATAAAAAGTAAAAGGTGAACAACTTACTTTCGTTAAATTATCCAATTTTAAACATACTGGACAAATGTAGGGTGCATCCACTTCTCGATCACCTTCTGATTTTATATCTGTATCACTTGAACTACCACCACCACCACCAACAGCTTGAGCAGCAATTAAAGCTGTTTGACAAATACAAGCCAAATTAGAATTTCTTCCATCAGATGATGAATCATTTCTGATAGCAAGACTAAGTGCCCACCATAAACATGGTAGATGTTGCCAAGATGCACAACGATCACATTGAACCATAACATGACCACCTTCAACACGAAAACCACATAAGCAGCGAATAACTTCAGCACCACGTTCTAGAGCACGACGATCAGTCTATATAAAGTGTGGAAAAAATACATTTATAATAATCATAAGATATAAATTGTGGGGGACAAAACGATAATATTCTTCATGGTTGATACTCCTGAGATTAATAGAAACCCTGAACTGGCAACTAGAATGAAACTTGGAAGCTTATCAGTAACCAACCAACCTGAATTGATGCAACATCTCAATAAAGTGAAGTGGTGTAGATCAATCCTGATGCATCACATTGCAGGCGTAAAAAGCATACCAAGCATACTCAGACGTTTGCCCAAGGCCACTTAGAGGAGTTGAAGTGAACCAGCTGCATTCGTCAAAGTAAGTCAATATCTTCAAAATTCAAGATATCTAAGCTTAAATCTATTGGTACATCAATAAGAAAGTTACACAGAAACTGTCACGAAAAGCATTTCCATCGGACACGATTGGTTGTTGCCAATTCAAACCAGAACACACTCCATAAGCTCTGATAAGGTTATCATCACCTATCAACATAGGATCAGGCATTACTGAGTAACAGTCCAACTTCCCACACCTCATATCAATACATCAAGCAACAAAGCAATGAAGTGCAAGATGAAGAAAAGAAAACTCAGTCAAAAGAAATATAAACTACTCAAAGAAAGAGAGAAACGAAGAATCAGAAAATAATGAGATTCGTTATAGCGTCATTAAAATGACGATAATGTGTGTGTGCATATATCTGACCAAACGACATCGGCACTCAGCCATATCACCTAAACTCAGTCTCCAACCACTCCTTTCTCTTCTCCCACCGACCCCAACCACACAGTATGCATCTCCCACCTCAAATGGCTCAAACCAACAGTCAAACATTCCATACATTGGTGCCATGGTTCAGCCTACTCCACCTCGAGCCTTTCTCCAGCCTCCATACCTACTTCAACCAACATTGTGTAACGAAGCACACGGAAACTACGCATACACCTAACATATATCCCAACTACCCATCATCTCAGTCCATCAAGGTTCACAACGACATCAACTGACTTACCTCTTCTTCCTCCCTAAAACTTTACACTACTCACACCATGACACCACGGAATACAGCATATACCACAAAACTAAGGCAATCGTACTCAAACATACTAACCCTTCTCATGTCTTCCACATTCAATGACCACGTTTCACACCCATACAGAAAAACACACCGGATCGCTGTGCAGTACACTCCACCCTTCCTAAAAGACAATCGCATATCACGGCAGCACCACAGGTTGCGTAAGGTGGAAAAAGTCAACCAAGCCTTTTGTAGCCGGGCAGAAATTTAGTCAGTCACCGACCAACGCATCACGACTGATCCCGCTTCCCAGGTAAGTGAAGCGGTTATCACACTAAACCACTTCACTCTTAATTCCTAGCCAAGGTACTGTCGAAGACCAATTCTCGAACATCAATTTGCATTCAGGTGGTGAAAAAGGCATCCCAAACATTCTCAAATTAACCACTCAAAGTGTTCATAACACTCTGCATCCTGTCAGCGTCTTCATCCAACAGGACTATGTCATCAATGTTCCATTCAGGCTCCGACTGGACTAGTGGGCAACGCAATGCTGGCTGGAGGCCAGTTAAAGTGTTCCTCGAAGTGTTCTACCCATCGTTCCAGTTGTCTCCTCTGCGAGCGAATCGCAGTTCCGTCCTTCTCCACATTGGTCTCACTCACTTTTCCCCCAGTTTCCTTAATAAGCCTAAATAACTGTCTACTGTTACCAATCGTCGCTGCCTTTTCCATCTCTTTAGCCTGCACTGCCCACCACTGTTCGCTGTCGTCGCGTAGACTTTTTCTCAATCTACTTTTAAGTTGCGCTTGCTCTTCATTGTACTCAGAGCCTGCAAGAATGCGTTAACTAGCATCCATTAGTTCGGAAGAAGCTGGTGATATCCACTGGCTCCTTTTAGCCATTGTTTTGGAGTCGGCTGCGCTCTTCAGCGCTGCTTTTACATTACAGTAGACTGGAGATGGCACCAAGCTTCTACTGGATGAGTGGTACTCTTCTGCTCCGATAACTGCTTAGCCAACTTCTCATTGAAAGCGGCTTTGGTGTTTTCGTTGTCTAGCAGCACTCGTAGTGGTTTTGTTGCCAAATTTTTCCTACGTCCCTTGAGACGCAGGCATATACGCGCTTGGACCAACGCGTGATCGCTATCCAAATACGTACTCCGGAATGAGCGGCAGTCTTCTACCGATCCTCTCCAGCGATGGCTGATAGTAATGTGGTCTATCTATGTCTATCGCTGAGTTGAGCTCGGTGGACGCTACGTCAGACAGTGTCTTTCTTTGTGTCTGAAATTTGTGCTAACTAAAAAGAAGCAGTTGTCCGTTTAGCCAGGACTCCGAAGTGCCATTTAAGTGCCTTTCTGCCTCACTCAATCTACCCACTAGTGCGTTTAAATCACTTACAACAACAACCACGTCCGAACATTTGGCTTTCGAGAGGAGGATAGACAGTTTTCGGTAGAAATCGTCCTTCACTTCATCCGAGCTGCAGTCAGTGGGTGCGTGAGCAGAGACTACAAAGAGACAATAGCGAGTCTCACTACTCCTTTTAGCTCTCACTGAGCCGTTCAGCCGGACAGCACAGAGGCGACTATCAACTGGGATCCAGTCTAGTAGTGAGTTTTCTGCCCTGGTGCTTAATGCTATGCCTACACCTGCAAGACCCCAAAAGCTAGCTATTGAATATCGAGAAACTAGAAGGGTGAATTTTGCAGGTTCACAAGATTGGTCGGGAGAGGTCAGGTGAATAACCGCACTTGGGTCCTGTATGCGTGTCTCACAAACACAGCACACATCCATGACCCGAGATGCTAGAGTCTTGGCCAATGAAGTCTGTTGACCAAATTGACGCAGGGTATTGACATTGAAGGCCCCGATGCGTAATTTGGAGTGTAGTTTAAGGAGACCAGGGATGCAGTTTTGTGGACTTAGAAGTGAAGATGATGTAGTATTGTTAATTGAAACACGAGAAGGAAGATTATAAGGTAATGATGGGGGAGGTGGATAGCAGACTGAAGTAACTTGAATGCTGACAAAGTTGAGGGCTGTTAATACTTCCCAGTTGCCCACACCGTGAAAGGCTATTTCTTCTTAAGGTACCTGAAAGAGATTTGTGTGACCGCAGAGCCCATCAGACATCTGCTTGAGGCATGTCACACTCAGCCTTTTGTGAATAGTTTTTTTTAACGTTTGTTGTTTTCGGGCCGGATGGTCGAAAAGAAACTACAAATGAACCAACAACGCCAGCCCACCAGACCGTGGAGCATGGTGGAGTGTGTTATTTATGGGGTCGGCCTCCCCTAACCCCTACCCCTGAGAAGGCAGCATCAGCACAGCACTGCTGGTCATCCAAGGGAAAAATCTTACTGCTGTCACACCCCATCTAGACAACAGCTGTACGACTTCGCTCTCAGACCCCATCAGAATGTGGTAATTTACACCACAACGGTAACTGCTTTTCGTCTAACCACTATCCAACAGACCTTTCTGGACATCGAGGGAACAAGTGTTCCACCAGCATAGCTCGTTGGGTCATTGTGATATGCAAGCCCGACCACCACGTCAAGGTAGCAGCAATCGGTCGGGTGACACAGCTGTAGAGAGCTCTGAATAGCGTTACATACTTGCTCAGTAATCTGTTCGCAATCAAATACTCCCAAAACACCTAACAGTCGACAGAGTCGAATACCGTTTCCACTCCAAGAGATATAACAACTGTCGGTCACTGGCAAGTGTGTGTGTGCTCCAGCACCAATTGTAGGCTGAAAACATGATCGATACACCCATGTATCCAGGTAAGAAACCTAGCTGGTTTCAATGAGTTCGCTGTTCTCGAGCTCAACAGAAAAAAAAATGCTCCATAAAATCTCCGATATGATATGAGTTTGACTGTTCCGCCGATAGCTGTCGTAAGAAGACTTCTCTCCTTTCTTATAAATTGGAATGATTACTGATGTAGACCAATTCGACAGGCCAACCTCTTTTATTATTTGCATATCGACTACCAACCGTTTCAGTAACGAGCCAGAGTAGGTAGTTGTTGATGCGATGTATATCTGTAGTTTGTTGCAAAAGCTTTTCGTAACGCGCCACGTCTCTGAACCATATAGAAGCACTGACTTGACTTACTTAGTGTTGAAAATCCGGATCTTGTTCACGCTTTATGCTGAGTGCAGTGCAGAAGATCTCCACACTGGTTTCAGAATAATCAAAGCCTGTTCTGGTGCATTTTCGATCCTGACTTTGACGTTCTCGTCTGTGCATCCTGTAGTTGAAACGATGTCGCCTCCTAAGTAGGTGGGTAGGTGAAAGAGACTACTTCCTTTGGGTTTCTCCCGCTCATAGTGATTTGTGATTGGAGCTTGTTGTTGGTGGTGACGGTGTTGGTGGGGTATCGTCATCACCTATATCTTCTCTACGTTCACCTGAAGTCCCGTCTTCGCTGCCTCGCCTCTTCTGGTAACTTGTTACTTTTTGACTGTAGATCTTCAAGTTCGTGTGACATCAGACACAAGCAATCGGCGAAATCCAAACCTCCTAGGATACTTTCCCTGGTTTAGCGTGTACCCCCCCCCTCATCGCTCCTCACAGTTGTCTGCTGCATGATCCAGTCCACCACAATCAGGAAGATCGTGGGTGATAGTAGACAGCCTTGTTTCACTCCTGTCTTCACTTCAAAGGCATCACTGAGCTTCCCATTGTGAATTACTTCGCATGTGGCGTCTTCATATAGTTGTTCAATGAGGTTGTAAAGGTTTGTGGCACTAAAACCGTAGTGTTGAAGCAGCTGCTGCAAAATTACTTGTCGATCGACGCTTTCGAAGGCCTTTTCAAAGTAAATGAAGTTAAGGTAGAGAGTTGACTGCCATTTTATACTCTTTTCGATGATGCGCAGCGTAAGGTGGCAATTCGATCCGCACATGATTCGTTCCGCCTGAGGCCAACCAGCCTGTTCCGGTCGTAATTTTGAATCCAGCGCATCCTTAAGTCTCTCCAGGGTGATGCGGCTTAATAAAAATAATGCCAAGAGAAAGCATATATGTCAATTGGGTAACAGAGAACGCTACCAAACTTCAGTGTTACTACTCCGTTAGCCCCGTTTCTGTATCAAGTCGTGCAAATCAGCTGGTAAAAATAACGATAAACACATTCCTTACAATAGAAGGTGGAAGTTAGTAACAAGTTTTAATGACTGCCTGAGGAAGTATGTTAGTGTACTGAGATCACCAATGTCCGTTACCGAAACAAATTACCGTAATTGACTGTGTGCGGACAATCTTAGAAATTTAAATCGTTGAGCTGGATTTCAACAACACTTCTCTAACAGAAGTGACAAGAAATATGTGACACCGTATCAAATTACCGATATCAACCAATAAACAGATTTCAATATATGCCCAAGAGTGTACTCTTAGCAAGAATGTGTTTAGAAAAACTGCTGTCTAAATTTTGTGTTCTGTTTCTTCCGTCATTCTACACACAGACCATTTCATGGAGCCAGAGGATGAATTTGACAATTTTGCTTGTCTAGACATCTAAATTTTTGAAATCCTTGAGATGTAATACAATATCACAAATTATTTATCAGTTCTATGGAGGAAGAAGAAGACATGTCGTTGTGATCCAGTCTACAATGAATATTCTACAAAGTGCCGCATGATATTAGGGAAAATATTTAATTCTCCTGTGAAAAAGCATACAAACAGACAGACAAAATCATCGTAGAACTTCTCACATAGGTGCATCCCCACAAGTCGCCACCATTTACAGTAGTATACTAAGAACAGGTGGACAGAAAAAGTGATATCAAGGTAGACAATGTTATGATGGAGAATAAACAAATATTCAAGCTTCAGAAGTTGTCAGTGCGACCGACTTTTATCCATATCATCAACAGTCCACAATCATTCATTCCTATCGTCTCGGCGACTTCCCTCCCCCTAGCCAAGTAGTCTACACACATGACTGCACATAACTTAGACCAACAGTCAGAGACGATGAAGAACAACGATAAAATATGTGTCATTATCGAAATTGGTAGGTGGAAAACAAAAGAGACAAACCTTTTTCTTTACACTACTGTTTTGGAATTTCATTCCTGATGGTGCAAGTGATTTCGGCATAGCGATAGCTATACAGTTTCCCAGTTGCAAACACTCGACTAGATTAGTCTATAGAATAATAAAATAGAAAGAAGACAAAAATCATAGAATAATACATAATAATGCATCTAAATGATATAGTATCACTAAACTAAATAGGCAAAAAGGGAAAATATGACTAGAGAGGAAAAGATACTCTCTGCAATAGATTCATGTTGACTAGATGAGAAGTGAATCTGTGCATAACCTAATCTAATCTAATCTAACTCAGAAATGAATCTCTAATCATTTTGATTATTAAAAATCTTGTAGCAGATAGATAGATGGATAGTTTTTTCTCAAAGCAATTCTACTTACGAGGGTACTTTTTAAAAATATTAACTTTAACTTCATATTCTTTTGCCAGTCAACACAAAGAATATTAAATAATTACACTGGGTAGCGATTGGAAGTGAAATGGAAATCTAGGCCAGGGAAGGATCCAAACCGGCAACCTTCACTATACAGGTCTAGTGTTGGAAAAAACCCAGTTGAAAATCAGATTGTTTCATCGAGGATACTCTGGTTTAAAAGACAGATTGATGTATGATAGAGAAACATTTTTTTTAAAAACCTAAAAACGTTGAACACCTTTTCAACTTAGTCGCATACTTCCTCTCATAATTGAGCATCTAGTTAAACCAAATTGTTATTCAAATGTCTCCTGAAAAATAAACGATTCTTCATCATCATCAGTCGGGGAATCGCTGAAAATCTGGGAGCACTGAACAGCTATTTCGACCAACTAGTATGGGATTCCTTAGCAGTACACACCCACCCAGTGGCTGAATGGTTAACGCGTTCACCGTGAAACCGTGACAGTCCTGGGTTCGATCCCTAGCCGGGTCGCGGGTGCGTACTGCTCAGGAGTCCCATACTAGTAGGATGAAACAGCTGTCCAGTGCTCCCAGATTTTCAATGGTTCCCCAACTGATGTCAGTGCATGATGAATACTACTTCTAAATTTAAAACAAAATCCCCATTCATCTCGAAAATAGATTCTCCATAAATTAATTGGTCGGATAATAGTTCTGTGCTTATTAATGACTCAATCTGAAGATAAATTCTGCTAAGAATAACGATCTGAGCAATCGAATACGTTGAATAGGAGGATCGATATCGTCCATAGTGTTGCATAAAGGTCACACAATACTAAGAATTAATGGAAGTAGGAAAGAGTCAATCAGGTCACTGAAAGATAATGTGATCATCCAGAAAAACATGATGATCTTCGACCCTATCCTTCATATATTCAGAAGTGAACACCACTAACGAATTTCTCGATGAAATGAACAACTGTCCAGTGTTCCTAGATTCTAAACAGTTCTCCAGTTGATTATAATTTGTGATGACAGGTGACCTGAATTTCATATATTCATTATTACCAGTTCAATGGTTGCATTTTTAAATTCTGTGGCTGTGTTGAACCTCGATATTCACAGTGCCTCAAGAACTCGTTAGACAGTCGCTAAACATCAACAAACGACATAGCCTTATCACAGAGTCGTCCAAGTTGCCACATCTCATATCGGTAGAGCAAGCGAGAATGCACTAATATGTCCACACTTCATCCTTTGTGTAACTGATCTGGTATACACTGGAAAATTTATTTAGACACCTAATCCCCTAGGTACCCCCAAGATACTCTACTCTACAACAGCAAGTGAATTGAAAAAACATGTAAGCTGATTAGCTAGAGGTTATCACAAGGAAATTCCTCGTCTACTTTCCCGACTGGACTAACTAGAGAATAAAACTAGTCAAATAGGATCATTTCCGATTCTCATACACCAGCTAAGAAGTCAGTTAGTCGAACTCGAACTCTTTGATCATCATCCTTGAAAAAGCCCGACATTAGCTCAAACGGCTCTACAGCAAAATCTCACTTCAGATTACCTACAGACTTCTCAACTACTACAAGAGTTGGAGGGCAATTTCAATGCCCCCCCTTCAGGATCCGCCTGAAAAACAAAGACAAGCTGAAGGCAAGTAGAACTGTTCCATCTTTTTAGTCGTTTTCTCAGCAGGTGAACCGTGGATTCATTCTTATCCACTGCTGTCTCGTTAACCATGAATCTTTTGCTTCAGTTTACTCGAACACTCTGAATAACTGTATACTGTTACCCATCGCCGTCATCTACATCTTTTCATCTCTCTAGCCTTCTCTATCCATCACTGTTCACAACCACTGCTTTTACTTCTAGTCAATCCATATCTGAGTTACGTCCACTCCTCACTGTGTTAGGAATACACGTAGAAATGTGTTCACGTGCATCCATTGGTTCGGAAGAAGAATCAGAAACTTAACCTATCACTGAAAGTCAGTCACGGTCTTTAACGCAGTTCCAGATGAATGACACTGTCCGGTTACAATAAATGTCTAGCCAGTTCCAAAATGAAAAAATCCTCAGTATTCTCATCATAGAGCTGCACTGGTGAAAGTCTTGTTGCTGTGGTTTACCTATATCCGCTTAACACCATACAGGTGTGCTTGAAGCAACATATGATCAGTATCCAAAAATGTGATTGTGAAGGAGCAACGATTTCTCAAGAACCCTCTCCAGCGATTACTGGTAAAAATACAGTCTATCAGTATTCACCACCGAGTTGAGTTCGGTGAACACCATGTCACATAATGTCTTCCTCTATGCTTGGAGTTCATACTAGTCAGAAATAGATGGCTGTTTACGCACATTCGCAATAGGTGATGCACATTACATTCTCATCCCACGAGGACTCTAAAAGTGCCACCTATGTTCCCGCCTGCTGAAAATGGTCCACCTACTGATGCATTGAAATCACCTCCCACAACAATCAAATCTGAACCTTTGGTTTACAGCAGGAAGATGGACAGTTTTCGGTACATCTCAATCCTTACCTCTTCCAAACTGCAGTCACTGGGTGCGTAAGTGGAGATCACAAAGGGAAAACTGCAAGCTTCACTATTCTTCTCAGTACTCACGGTATCATTAATTTGAACAGTGCGTAGATGACTGTAAACAGAGAGATCCGCTCAAGCAGTGCAGTTTCTGCCTAAGCACTTAACAGTATACTTACATGTGAGAGAACTAGCTTTTGAATATCAGAAAAAAACTCGGAGGTGAATTTTGCAGATTCACCATACTGGTCAAATAAGGCTAAGTGAATGAACACACTTGCACCCTGCATGTGTGGTCTCACAAACACAGCAGACACCCATGGGCGGAAACGTCAGATATTCCTCTGGCGAAGCTTGTTGTCTAATTTAATAGGTGTGGACATTGAAAGCTCCTTTACGTAGTTTATAGGGCAATTGTAAGTCACTAAGAATGCTTTCTCATGGACTCGAATCGTTTTCAACAGCTACAGAGCTGAACGAAACCAAAGATGACATATTATTTTTACCAGGGAGAGAGAGAGATGAAGAAAGATTAGAAGTTCAAAGATGTTGAAGGTTGATAATGATCTGAGGGATTGTGAGTGTTGATAGAGTTACGAGGACATTCGATACTTCCAAGCTCTCTACGCCATGAAAGGATATTTCTTCTTAGGTACGTGATGAAAAGAAATCATATATGTAATGGTAGTATATGACCACACACTTTTATCGTCTTGAATCCAGCTAGGAAACCGATACCGTCAGCACCAGGAAACTGTAGGTAGATGTGTACTACTTTCGGATACTTTCCTAAGCATAGAGGGAAGATAGCTTGAGCATGAAAGGCTGGTCATTCGCTGGGAATAATCATATTGCTCTTGTTTGTATTGTGTTCTCTGAGCTGGGTTGTTTAATCGTGAAGCTTTCATCATCCTTCTAGACATCATCAGCACTAACTTCATATCGTATTGCTGTCATACTTCAGCTACCGAGTAGTACGACTTCTCCCTCAGACTCCCCCCCCCCCCTAACAAATGGTTAATTACACTTTAGTGGTGACTGCTTTTCGGCTTACTACTGTTCAACAAACTCTTCTGGAATGATAAGACCCGGAGGGAACGATTGTTTGCCCCCCCCCCTTCCCACCTTAGGCCCGATCACCACATCAGGACAGCAGTTATCGATCGGGTCTAGAAGTCATTGTGCAAAAAGGGTATAGCTTGTTAGTAGGCACAGTCAAATTTGAGCTGCATAATTATGATTTCTAGTCAATTATACTTCAGAATGATTAGTTACGATCTGCCTTCTTAGTGAAAAGGTTCGAATAAGAATAAAACCATGAATATGCATTGTTACTGCTAGTTGTATATCAAATTATTGAAGTGAATTGAAGATTTTTGTAAAACTAAATAATATCACTATAACAGCGAATTAATTCAATAAGAAATATGAGCTTACACGATGTTTGACATAGACACTTTTTAATTGCATTAAACGTCGACCGAACCAACTACGACGTCCAGTGAAAGCTTCCCAAACAGAAAACATATTATCCATAGCTAAATCTAACAAGTGTAAACCTTCCATAACATCAACATTTGTCACTATCTTAAAATAACTCTCTTCTACTTCTGATAGTTTCAAGTTCAATGGGATAATAGAAGAATGAATAGATGAACAATCATCTACAGGATTCATAACAAATCTTGAAGCAATACTAGCCAAGCATAATGAAGGGAATTCAATGTGATATATTTCATCATCAATTGTTTCATTGGACAGATTACACAATGGAGAGAATATACGATTGATAAAGTCTGTTGTAAATTTCACTTGTAGTCCAGAACCCGATAGATGAGAAGATAAGGTGAATCGATAAAATTCTGGATATCTAAAACATAAAGTAATAAATATGCATAGATTGAATAAAAATTTTTTTTAAAGGCTATGAATGATACTCCTTAATAATTATCACTTTGAATATCCTGAGTGAGATTAGTTGTAGTTTAGCAGACTTGTATTTATACTGAGTGATGAGATAAGGTGAAATGAAAATTTCGACCACGACTAGATTCTTTCAAATCACCGCTATCTCAATCAGACAGTCATAATAATAATAATCAATATGATATTTCCCCTCTCTAATTCAAGTAGACTTGAACTGGAATGAGAAGTCCTCGCTGAGGGCAGCCAGTATGAGTACGATCATGAGGTAATAACACATGAATTGACATGGTAGTCGGGCAAAACCTCACTTGTGATTGAAGTGAAATTAAAAATCTGATCAGTAGTCAGGCATCGTAGTTCAGTTAGTAAAGCATTGGGCAAGAAAACCGATGGTCTCTGGTTCGAATCCTGCCGCGGTTCACCTTCAATCATCATCCAGTACAAATACTAGTCTGATAAAAACCTTAGTTATCTCAGATAATCTTAATGATGATCAATATAGTGCTATCCATCTACAATTCTCAGTTAGATTGCAATGAGGATGAGAAGTTCTGACCGCGATTAAGCGATGGTAACGCGTCATGAATTCATCACTAAGCTAAAATACACAATTCGATAAAGAGATACTGAAAACCGGTTACAAAGGTATATGACAAATATGCTATATGATGTGTGATTAGTTCAGAGTACCTGGAATAGTTTTAGAATACACAATTTATACGATTTCAAACAACTAAGTAAAATTCGCATAATACATTAATAAATAGCAAAAATCTGAATGAAGAATATTCTTTTCAATAAGTATTCTCATCAGCTTCCAAGATTATCAAAAGGTATTTGACAATAAGAAAAATTGTTCTTCGTTCAGATGGAGAGAGAGGGAGAGAATGAAACGCTAGTTTGAACGGAAATCACCAACAAGAAGCATTTTCAACTATTCAATCGTTTCATGTCTTTACCGAAGAATAACAGGTATGAAAGCAACTATTTGCATAACACGAATTTCTGCAAAAACAGTATTAAGCATAGTCAATGAAGCTAAAAAAAAACCCAGTTGAGTGATTAGATTACACCTAGTTGGTTAACTACTAGTTTACTTCCTGAGAAACGCTGTAAACACACAAACCTTGAGGTGATAAGTAGAGTAACTTCAGTCAAGAATTCTAACTGTTACTACATACAGGAAAGAAAATTAATCAAGCTCACTTGGCAATCACGTTCACATTCATGCAGTAGGTAATGGATCACATTAATTGTGTTATACATAATGATGCTACCTGGTTGCTAAGAACTTGGTAGGTCAAGTAGAGTTAGAACCACTGACCCAGTAGTTGGAAGTTGAATGTCTCGATCGGTGAGTCATACCTCCAATACCAAGATGATATTCGCCATTATACCACACAATGTGTCCCTTTGCATTTGATATCCTATCAAATCTAGTCAGCAGAATATGGTTTACCTAGAGATTCTAATTAATTTTTTCAGACTGCTATTTCTCAGAAAAAAGTGACAAATTCTGATTTCTCATTACATTCGAGGTGGTCATCAGAGACTCCCTAAAGAGAATGAGTACAGTTTGGATACTATAGTAGAGAGCAATTCTATATGAAATATGGTTATTTGACATTATTTATTGGATACTGATTTTTCAAGCGTAAACTATTGCTCAAAACCATATCAAGGTGATCATAAGTCATATATATATATATATATATATATATATATATATATATATATATATATATATAATTACTTTTCCCTTGGGTTCCTAATGGAATATAAGGCTTCAGTAACACGTCTCCATTTAACTTTCTTCTTTGTAATCCTTTCAACCTGGAGCCACGAATGCCCACAAGCTCTCATTTCTTCTTCTCATCATCTCCTCCATGTCACCCTCAGCTGCGATGCCCAACTCGTCGTTTCCCCTTTGGATTCCACCCGAAAGCCTGGCCTGGTGCGTGATGTCTCCAGTCAGCCCTCTCAGTGAATGCCCAATACAATCGATCTCCTCTTCCCTCCACTGCATATTTGTTCAGCGATAGGTTCTTGGTTAGTTCGTTCCCAGTTTCTTGTTACTTATTCCTTCTCGCCTTCTCATCTGATCTTCAGCATCAAGCGTAGGCACCTGTTGATGAATGTCTGTAGTTTGTTGGAAATGCTTTTTGTGACACGCCAACTTTCTGAACCATATAACAGCACTGACTTGACTGGATTGGTGCTGGAAATCCGGATATTGTTCTTTGTGGTGAGTGGAGTGCCGTACATCTCCACACTGATTTCAGGCAAATAATGGCCTGTCTTGCCTTTCCGATCCTAGCTGGCTTTGACGTCCTCGTCTGTGCCACCTGTAGTTGAAACGATGCTGTCTAGATAGGTGAACGAGACTGCTTGCTTTATGTTTCTCCCGTTGATGGTGATTGCTGTTTCTTGTTTTTGATGCTGCTGTTGGTTGGGTATCTTCATCACATCTGTCTTCTCTACTTTCACTTAAAGTCCCGTCTTCACTATCTCGCCCCACCTCTTGTGTCAACTTGTTAGTTTTCGCCTATAGATCTTCGAGTTTGTGCGACATAATATATTGGACATGAATCATCATCGTTGGTGAAATCCAAATCTTTTAGGCTCTTTTCATCGGTCCAGCTAGCGTATGCCCCTCTTCTCGCCCTTCACAGTTGTCTGCTGTATGATCCAGTCCACCACAATCAGGATGATGGGTGATAGTAGGCAGTCTTGTCTTGTCTTACTCCTGACTTCACTTCAAAGGCGTCACTTAGCTTTCCATATATATATATATATATATATATATATATATATATATATATAAAATAGCCTCGCCTGGTTAACTAGTTCACTAGTTACTAGCCGGTCCTAAGACCGGGTAAAGAGGGAAGGTTGGGCATAAGGCTAGCAACCCTACCTCGTAAAACAAATCTAACCGCTGAACAAACTTCAAAGCACAAACGATATATAAAAAATAATAACGAAACTATTCCTCGCTGGAATCGGAAAGGCGAAATGACGCCAGTTAATGAAAGCCTTCGGAGAGCCAATTGGCCGATGTGTCTTCTCTCTCTCGATGAAAGCGAAAGTAAGCGTGGGGACATGGAATGTCCACACAATGTTTGAACCCAGCAAGGCAGCCCAGATTGCAAACAAGATGAAGAGGTATCACATTGAAGTGTTAGGAATTTGCGAGAGCAGGTGGAATAGAAGTGGACTCTCCAAACTGTCAACTGGAGAATCAATAATCTACTCGAATATTGTCACCCACACGACAACCGCGAGTACACTGAGCTATGGAGTGGCTATCATGATGTCACCTTCAAGAGCATCGAAGGCTCTCATGCAGTGGGAACCAATCTCCTCCAGCATCAGGATCATGACAGCAAGGTTCAACTCAAAAGGAAGGAAGGTCACAATTCTACAGTGCTATGCACCTACAAATAATGCAGGTTAAAAGAAAAAGGAGGAATTCTACGGACAACTCCAATCAACACTGGACAAGACGCCAGTTGGCGATATCAAAATTCTAATGGGCGACATGAATGCCAAACTGGGAGGGGACAACACAGGAAGAGAACTAACCATGGGTCGAGAGGCGTTCGGTGAGGTGATGAACAAGAATGAAGAATTGTTTGCAGAATTCTGTGCATTCAACGATTTGGTGATTGCAGTGAGGCACTGAGTTCAGGCACAAGGATATCCACAAAGCGACATGGATTCGATTTCACCAGATGGACACACTAAAAATTAAATCGACTTCATCTCAATCTCAAGAAAATGGAGACGCAGTCAGTCTACTTGACACAAGGTCAAGAAGAGGAGCAGATGTAGGTTCACACCACTCACTATCTAGTGCAAGGGACCTACCTTCCAAATCAAGTTAAAAGCCTTCAAGGAAGCTGGTGATAGACCACAGTTCAAGTACAACAATCGGAAGCTGAAGGATGAAACTACAAAAGAGATCTTCACAGCAGCCATCAAGACAAAATGGGAGATATCGAGGAACATCCCTTAAGAAACCTGTGTGGAAGAACACTGGAATTCTTTGAAAGCTATGTGAAAAGAAACCTGCACAACAGTATTAGGAAGGAAGAAGAAAGAAGACAAGGAATGGATCTCGACGGATACCTGGAAGCTGATAGAGCAGGGAGAGGAGGATGGTGAAGCAGAAGATGAACCAGTGCAAGGACGCTCAACGACAAGAGGAACTGAGTACAATGTATAAAACACTGAACAAAGAAGTAAAGAAGAGTGCACGCAAAGACAAAAGACACTTCTACGAGACACTGGCAAGTGAAGCAGAACAGGCTGCCGGCTGGTAGGAGAGACAGAGACCTGACAACACTGTATCAAATAACCAGGTTGCTATCTGGGAGGGAAGAGATCAACGCAGACGAAACCAATAAAAGAAGAAGGAATTTCAATTAGGAAAGAAGAGAAACAGAGGAAACAATGGTCCGACCACTCCAAAAAGCTCTTGAATCGACCACCACCACCATCTGCACTTCGTCCAGAAATACCACCTACAGCCGCTGAATTACAAGTGAATATAAATCCTCCAACAAAAATGGAAGTCCTGAACGCCATAAACCTACTGAAATGTGGGAAAGCAACAGGACCAGATAGGATCCCGCCAGAAGCACTGGAAACAGACGCAGAGACAACAGCAGACATGCTCACACCACTATTGCAGAAGGTGTGGAAGTAAGAGAAGGTACCTGGCGATTGGAAAGAAGGGTTACCTTGTCAAACTCCCGAAGAAGGGAGACCTCAGTGTTTGCAAGAACTGGCACGGAATCACTCTCCTGTCCACCCAAGCAAAATATTAAGCCGCATCATCCTGAAGAGGCTAAAGGAAGCACTGGATTCAAAACTACGACCGGAACAGGCTGGCTGGCTGGATTCAGGAAGTACAAATCATATGCGGATCAAATTGCAACGCTACTCTACGCATCATCATAGAACACGGCATAAAATGGCAGTCAACTTTATCGACTTCGAGAAGGCCTTTGACAGCGTCGACTGAGACGTAATTTGGAAACTGCTTCATTACTACGGAGTACCGCCAACCCTTCTCCGCCTCATTCAACAACTATATGAAGACGCCATATGCCAAGTAATTCACAATGGGAAGCTCAGTGATGCAGTAGACAAGCGTGAGGAGCGAGAAGTGGGGGACATGCCAGCTGGACCGGGGAAAACATACTAGAAGATTTGGATTTCGCCGATGATGACTTGTGTCTGATGTCATACAAACTTGAAGATCTACAGGCGAAAACTAACAAGTTGACACAAGAGGTGGGGCAGCGAAGACGGGACTTCAAGTGAATATAGAAAAGACAGAAGTGAAGATACCGCACCAACAACAACAAACTCCAGTCACCATCAACGGGAGAAACTTAACGGAAGTAACCTCCTTCACCTATATAGGAAGCACTGTTTCAACTACAGGCGGCACAGGCACAGATGAGGATGTTAAAGCCAGCCAGGATCGGAAAAGCAAGACAGGCGTTCATAGACCTGAAACCAGTGTGGAGATCTTCTGCACTCAGTACGTGGAACAAGATCCAGATTTTGAACACCAACGTCAAGTCAGTGCTTCTGTGTAATGGTTCAGAGACTTGGTGCGTTACGAAAGACATTTCCAACAAACTACAGACATTCATCAACAACTTCCTACGCTGACTCGTTACTGAAGCTCAGATGAAAAGGCCAGAAAGAATAAGCAACAAGGAGCTCTGGGAACGAACCAACCAAGAACCTAACACTCAACAAATATGCAGTGGAATAAAGTGGAGATGGATTGGATCGGGCATGTACTGAGAAGAGTTCACTGGAGACGTGCTACTGAAGCCCTATGTTCCATTAGGAACCCAAGGGACTAATAATAATGATAATAATAGTGATTATATATATATATATATAAAAATATGAATAAATCAAAGTAATTTTTGAATCAACCATATAACAAGAATGCGAATTGCCTGCTTGAAAATACTGACTGGTTTGACAACTGTATATTATCGTGCCCGAAACCCAGTGGTCGCTGGTTCGAATCGCATCGCAGTTCAACTTCAATCATCACCCAGTATAAATACTAATCTACCAAACCACGTATATCTCAGATAGTCAAAATGCTCTACCTCTCATTCTAATCCCGTTACATTGGGATTGGGATGAGAAGTTCTTACTGTGCATAGCCCATGTGAGTACGATCAAGTAGTAGTTACGCTTCACGAATTCATATGGTAGTCGGATAAAACCTCACTTGTAATTGAAGCGAAATAAAAATCTGGTCAGCAGTCTCCATTGATAAAGCATTGGACCAGAAACCCGGTGGTCGCTGGTTCGAATTCCGCCGTGGTCAATCATCACTCAGTATAAATACTAGTCTGTAAAACCACAACTATTTCAACCAGATAGTCAAAATAATAATGTAAACAGGTGTTGAGACAGACAAACAAAGTAGGTCAGAGCTTGGAAAAGGACAACAAGGTTACGTAATATTGGGGGGGGTGAATGTAGTGAATAAATAAACTTTAAATATATGGTAGGGTGATAAAAAGAACAATACTGTTTTCAATAAAGTCTGATAAGACTTTAATATACGCATGTGTGTGGTAAGAATACACTTAGGGAACAGTAATTCAATCAAACATATTTGAGACAGAGGAAACAATCAGATATGACTATGTATTCATTTACCTATCAGGTGATGGTAAGTAAATTATTGGAGCACAAAGACGATAAACCGGTTCCAAAGGATCAGGTTCGTTGAAAAATTTACAAAATAATTCATATAGTGGACCACTTAACGATCGACCCTTGAGGAATGAAATTTGATCTAGGCTGTAAAATAAAAGAATGAAATGGTAAGCGATATATTATTATTGGGATCTGAGAAATATGTTACGTCTTATACAGAGCTCATCAACTTGATGTACCTGCCATCAAAATGAATGCCAGTTTTCTCACTAAGATTTGAATGTAGCAGTAGTTATCAATTGGCCTAACGAATTCAGACGGTCAAATCTGTGTATGTTAACCAAACGTATTGGATATATTCCCCACTATTGATATACAAGAATGAGTTGGTCAGTCTTTGATGATGAATATAAGACCATAATTCAATAGTGAAGCGTGTTTACAAAGAGAGCATAAACCATCAGAGACACGATAAAACGTATTTCAAGTTTAAACAATTGATCTAACACAACGAGGCATGGAGGCTGCTTACCAGAATGGATATAAGTAGTAGAGGTTGGAAGCTTCGCAGAAATTATAGGCAATTACCAGCAATGGGTAAATATTATGCCCTAGAGAAACCCGAACTTCAATCACCATCAACGGGAGAAACATAAAGCAAGCAGTCTCGTTCACCTATCTAGACAGCATCGTTTCAACTACAGGTGGCACAGACGAGGACGTCAAAGCCAGCTAGGATCGGAAAAGCAAGACAGGCCTTTATTTGCCTGAAATCAGTGTGGAGATGTACTGCACTCCACTCACCACACAGAACAATATCCGGATTTTCACCACCAATCCAGTCAAGTCAGTGCTGTTATATGGTTCAGAAAGTTGGCGTGTCACAAAAAGCATTTCCAACAAACTATAGATATTCATTAACAACTGCCTACGCTGGCTCATTACTGAAGCTCAGATGGATTGCCAGAAAAAAAGCAACAAGGAACTCTGGGAACAAACCAACCAAGAACCCATCGTTCAACAAATATACAAAAGGAAGTGGACATGGATCGTATTGAGCATACACCAAGAAAACCATTTGAGGACATCACGCGCCACACCAGGCATTCCAGTGGAACGCAGATGGGAAACGGTGAGTTGGGTGTCCGAGGTGAAGGTGACATGGAAGAGATTGTGTAAGGAAGAAATGAGAGCTTGTGGGCAGTTGTGGAGCCAGGTTGAAACGATTGCAGAGAACCGAGTGGAATGGAGAGGTGCTACTGAAGCCCTATGTTCCATTAGGAACCCAAGGGATAAATAGTAATAATAATAAGAGAAACCCAAAAGATAATGTTGGTGTAATAAGAGCATCATCATTATCATCATTATCAACATAGAACCAGGCATTACTGCGTAACGATCCGAGTTGCCACACCTCACGTCAGTTCATCAAGTAGAAAGGTAGTGAGGCGAAGGATGAAGATAAGTGAATGCAGTCAAAAGAAATATAAAGTACGAGAAGAAAGGAAAGAGGAGTGACAAAATGGTGAGATTCGGTGTAGCGTTGTTAAGATGAGGATAATGTTTGTGGGGATACATCTGCGCCACTGACTCCGGTTCTGAGCCATATCACCTAGGGTCTCCAACCACTGGTTCCTCTTGTCCCCCCGCCGACCCCAACCACCTAGTCTACATCGTCCCACATGGCTTAAACCAACAGTCAGAGACTTCATACATTGGTGCCATGTTTTAGTCTGCCCACCTCGGGCCTTTTTCCAGCCTGGACCCACCTCAGCCAACATTGTGTGACAAGGCAATCGGTGACTAGGCATACGTAGTACGTGTCCCAACCATCTCAGTCGATGAAGGTTCACAACCTCGTCAACTGACTTACCTCTTCTCCCCAAAACTCTACACCTAACTTCTGCATTACTCACATGGTGACACCACGCAATACGTCCTATACTACGAAGGCAACAGTGGTCAAACACCTGAAGTCTTTTTGTATCCTCCACTTTCAATGGCCATGTTTCACAGTCATACAGTAGAACAGAGCGGACTGCTGTGCAGTACACGCCACCCTTAATAGACAAACGAATATCACGGCGGCGCCATAGGTGGCGCAAATTGGCAAAAGCCAGTCGAGCCTTTTGTATCCGTGCAGAAATCTCATCGGCAACTAACCCACCGGGGTTGATCCTACTTCCCAGGTAAGTGAAGTGGTCAACACACTCAACCACTTCACTCTCTATTGTAGTCGCGGTACCGCTGAAGACCAGTCCTGGAGCAAAAATTTGCATTTGGGTGGTGAAAATTGCATCCCAAACATTCTCAAATTCCCACTCAAAGTGTTCAGAAAACTCTGCATCTTGTCAACATCTTCACCTAACAGGACTGATTATGTCATCTACATATTCTAGATCTAAAGAATATTCACCTGTGATTGGGTCAACGTCTTTGTAATTAGGTGACGAGAGGGAAACCTCCATAAGAATATCTATGATAAAATTAAATAAGAATGGGGATAGTGGGCATCCTTGACGGACACCACTTGATGAGTATAGCTCCCTGGACAACTCGCCATAGGCTCTAACATGCCCACAAGTGTTCGACTAGAGAGCTTTCACTCGGCACACCTTTCAGTGACAGACACTGCCATAAGACTTCTCGATCAACGGAGTCGAATAGTGCCGCCTTCAAATCGAGAAATACAGCTATTATCGGGCGTCTGTAAGCATGCCTATGTTCCAGGTATTAAGAGCAAGAGGAAATGAAGTAGATTGTGAAAATGACTGTCTTAGTGGAAAGTGTACAATATTACATTACTACTGTACAAGATGTCATTTTCTACAGTACTACTACTATTACTACTACTACAATAGCAACCATTATTTAGTAAAAGGGGTTATCTGTTAGACGTATTCACATAAGGTATCATAAGAATAGAAATGAATTATATTACCTGGAAATAAGAGAATCATGAAAAAAACTATTTCGACTTGGTAACCGACTAAGTTTTTGATTAATTTCATTCTTATTGAATTTTCTTCCAATAATCATACTCTTTTTATTAGTCATATGAACTTCGACAGGTTTTATTTTATGATCAATTTGTATAATTTGCTTTTTATTCATTTGTTTTATTGATGATACAGTAAGGGATTTCGATGACTTCATTGACAATGAAGAAAATTGTTGTATTGAATCTGATTTACAACTAGATAATACAGTATCATCTTTAGTCTATAAAAAAAAAAAAAATTACTAGAAAATAATTGGGTTAGAAAAAGGATATTATTTAAAAAGATATGCAGTTAAAATAAAACATAATACAAAAAAGAAAAAGGTAAATAGCCTTCTTTATCTTTTAATAACATTCTGAAATCACTAAGATTAGTGGTAATGTCATACTAATATAAGTGTAAAACTTGGACACTGTGGTAGAATGTAATTCCATATTAGATTTGTTTATTTGATATATAAGCGCACAGTGACACAGTATTATTTACTTGATTACGTTTCGAGCATAAATTATATTGCTCATAATCATATCAATGTAATCACACTTCTTTCGACATCTGATTTTATAGTCCTGTCACCTGATCTCTCTTTGTTTTTTTTGTTTTTTGATTGGTAGTAAAGTTTTCCATATCTCTGGTATAGGTGTTGCGTCATTCCTATTACATGTGTTGGGTGTGGATTCGATGAACAAAGATTCAGTAATTAATCTCTCTCTCCACCTAGCTATATTAGACTTAAGTACAGTGGTTTTGTCCCACCCTATTGTGTGGTTGTGTGTTAATGAATGTAATGCAATGGCTGAGTGTTTTTCTAGGTTATTGATCTTATTGGGGTCTGCCGTTCTATGTTTAGCTAAATTCCTATGTTCTGTTAATCTAACTGACCCCGACCGGCTAGTTTGACCTATGTATTTGACTTCACAGTCATTACATGGAATTTGGTAGATTATATTATTTTGCTTAATTGGTTCTATCGGATCTTTTAGCCGACAAAGCTTACCTCTAAGTGAGTTTGTTGGTTTAAATGCCACCCTAATTCCAACCTTGTTGAGAATCCTACGTATGGTTTCTGATGTTCCTTCCTTGTATGGTATCACAATAGAGGTGTTGATTTCCTTTCTACTTATGTTGTCACTATTATTTGTATTTGTATTAGTGTTATTATTTTGCTTCTTATGCGTCCGTGTGAATTTCTTAATAAAATGATGGGGATAATTATTAGTTATTAACGCTTCTTTTATGTGTTTCAATTCCTTTTTTAAGTCCTTACAATGACTAGTGAGTTTCTCAGCTCTGTTATTTAGACATTTGACTAAACCCGCTTTAACTGACACTGGATGAGATGACTTGAAGTCTAGATACCTGTTAGAATGTGTTGGTTTTCTGTAGACGGTAGTATCTAAACCACCATCTGTCCTTCATTTTATTCTGCAATCCAACATAGGTAATTCTCCTTGTTCATTTTCTACCTCCTCGTAAGTGAATTGAATTGAATCAAAAAACAAAGAAAAATCAGGTGACAGGACATCAGAAACCATACGTAGGATTCTCAACAAGGTTGAAATTAGGGTGGCATTTAAACCAACAAACTCACTTAGAGGTAAGCTTTGTCGGCTAAAAGATCCGATAGAACCAATTAAGCAAAATAATATAATCTACCAAATTCCATGTAATGACTGTGAAGTCAAATACATAGGTCAAACTAGCCGGTCGGGTCACTTAGATTAACAGAACATAGGAATTTAGCTAAACATAGAACGGCAGACCCCAATAAGATCAATAACCTAGAAAAACACTCAGCCATTGCATTACATTCATTAACACACAACCACACAATAGGGTGGATGGGACAAAACCACTGTACTTACTTAAGTCTAATATAGCTAGGTGGAGAGAGAGAGAGAGATTAATTACTGAATCTTTGTTCATCGAATCCACACCCAACACATGTAATAGGAATGACGCAACACCTATACCAGAGATATGGAAAACTTTACTACCAATCAGAAAACAAAGAGAGATCAGGTGACAGGACTATAAAATCAGATATCGAAACTTGTGTGTGATTACATTGAGATATGATTATGAGTAGTAGTCAGTTATGCTCTAAACGTCATCAAGTATATAATACTGTATCACTGTAATGTCACACTGTCCAATTACATAAGCAGGTTGACAACATGTTAAAGAAAAAAATTCATCTTTTTTCCGTGAGAAATTACTACTTGGTTTTTAAAAATTTAAAGCACTTTGTCCCTTTGATAAATTTAAATAGCGTAATGAGAAGATGAAGATTATCTGAAACATGTCCTGATGGATTAACATTATGCATTTCGAACAATCTGATTCCTCATACATGGACTTCACAAACTATTTATGTGAAAATTTACGTAAAGGGTCAATGAAGTTAATAGAAAATATTGGAGGAATAGGAAGGGGGAGAGAAAAAGAAACCTTACTCTTGGCATGAAAATTAAAATCAATACTACTTTAGGATTTGTCCTAGTGCGAACTTGACAGACGCAAAGACCAATCACTAATTATTTGGACTTACTACATACCCACGAGTACGAGACCAAAGAAGAACACGATTGCGTAGTCGGATAGAATAGTATATTCAGATGGTTGTGCCAAGATACCGATGAGTTCCAACTAACTGGATAGAAAGTGGAATACGAATAGTGCAACGTAAAACGACAGCGTGCTAAATGGCGAACATGCTTGAGCTTAGTGAGTCCAGTTAAACTATCAAGGTCAGCATCAATGTCGAAAGTCGTGAAACCCTAGGCTATTAATTTTGGGGAAGTGTGTGACGCTACACTACCAATGTAGGTCCAATGTGAGCACAAATTGTTTCTGTATACATAAACAGGGAGTTTAAATTTACGCCTGGCAAGAGCATCAATAAATTTAAGCACTCGACTCTGACCACCTTTATGTAGTATTTTAAATGCTGTTTTCATGTCTATCATATGGTTAGTTTCCAGCACATGTTTAGCGATAGACGAAGATGGATGTTTGTCACCTGCACTTATCTGTTGATGTGTTGACGTCATTTGTTTTTGATACTAGCCACTTAGGTACATGTTCAACCTTCCTTAACTGCATATCATGATTACTTCTCCCTATATATGTGTGTGTCCACACATACATGTCAATTCATAAACACACTGGGATGTGATGTAATCGTTTATATGCTGTTTCGGTTTGTGCTGTAACATGAACTTGGTCTTCTCTACAATGATGACTTTGGCTGCTTAATATGTTTTATAGATGACCGACTAAGTCTTTTCCTCACAACAAAGCTATATGAAACACCTTTAAATGGTAATGAGATGTAGACATTTCTCATAGCAACGGAACACTATGTACTTTTCAATGATACATAACTTTTGAACTTGTCGATAAATCTCAACGGGTATCCATTCTGTGTCAGCGTTGTCGTCAGTAAGTTGGTTTCTTCCTCCCTGGTGTCATCGGTGTAGATGCGGTTTATCCTGTTGACTTTTTTCGTAAATTTTCACATAAATAGTTTGACAAGTCCAAATGTGGGGGATCAGATTGTTCGAAATGTATAGCGCTAATACATCATAACATGTTTCAGATAATCTTCGTCTTCTCATTACGCTGTTTAAATTTACTACTTGGTGTTTATTTATTTAAATATACTATGAAATCGCATCTTGTTTCCTTATTTCTAAACATTTTTCGAAAAAATTACTCTTCCAATGTACCTTTATTAATGTACAACTTACATTCAATAATGAATTTTATCGATAAACAAATAAGGTAGCAATAAGGTTTCACTACTGGATCCACTTTTAGCTGATTACTTCAGGGGCTAAGTCTGAAGAATAGTAAACTAAGTCTACTGATCAACTAGTTCCATCTATATAAAAGATAAATGGATTACATACACTTTCATCATCTATGAGAAGAATAGTAACCTTGAAATACTACAAAAGTTTAATGAATTTCACAAGTCAATTAAATTTACCATGGAAACTAAAAATTCTACTGCCTAGGGATATTCTATTCACAAGAAGATACGATAGTTTCACAAGGATATCGATTTACAGATAATAAACCCACTAGTCACAAAAAGAAATTTAATTACTGTGCACAAAAATAACGGGAATTTGTACGGATGATGCAGTAAATGAAGAGGTGAAAGTACTTCGAAGGGTATTTCATTATGGTTATCCTTCAAATACATCGGCCGTACCCTGGCATCCGCTTGTAAAGCATGCCTATCTGCGAACCTGGCTGACAAAGGCAGAATGGAAATGCATCTTTAGTTCAATAACAGAACACCTCGTGAACTCAGGCAACTTGAGATCTCATTTAAAATCCTAATCAGAGTTCGATCAAACCACTCGAAGGGAGTAAGATCAAGGCATTTGTCTATAGCTGAAGCAATAGCTACCTAGAAGTTCAAATCACTGCTCTGCCTAAAAATGATACTTACAACCAACATCTTTCCCAGGGACATCATAAGGCCTTGACTATCGTAGAATATTACGTAATTATACATGTATTTTCATAATCCCTTGTCTATTTTCCCACTCTAAACCCAAATATGTATCAATTATATGCCTTCAGCTATTCAATATACTTTGCCCCCTAACCGGAAATACTTCTGGGACGTTCTGCCTACTGTAACATATATTCATGAATGTACAGGTTAGTAAATGATTTTGTCGATCAGAAAGAATTTTTCTTCGCTACAACCACTTCTTATCTCTTCTTTCAAGATTCATTAAGAGGAATATGAGGCCTAAACATTTCAAAAGAAGGATCCTCAATGGTTCCAAAGAACACATTGTTTATGAATATTAGATTCAAGGAAGATACATCGACTGAGATAATTAAAAATAGATTATCCAGAACACTGAAGAAGACGTTCTTTTCCGTCCAGCTTCGGAGTTTTTTCGCCAGTTGACAATTGATTCGAGGATATGTAAAAGATAAACTACCACGTTGGACAATCTCTATGACTTTTTTATAAATTCATCTGCTGTTGTCACAAAGGCTCTCATACAGCGTGTTCAATCCAAATGCATCCCTCTTAACACTAACCTGCATGGCTATCTAAAGGACAGTGTAAAGTCGTCAACAACTTGATTCTTGAGCATTTCATTAATTCTGGCCACAACACTACGAGAATCTTCTTTCAAAGTCATTTATAAAGTGAAGTCAAACATTCCAATTGGAAAGGGAATGCTTATCCGCCACCCCAACACAACAGAGGCTTTGGCAATTCAGTGGTTCAAGCCTGATCTTTGTGTTCAGAAGAGATGCATTGAATCTCTAATTTTGCCTTGGTCATTATCTCTCTAGGATAGTTTATTCATTTGTTTAGTAGTATTCATCACGGATTGACATCACTGAAAATCTAGGGGCACATTGGGGTTAACCAGTCGGAAGTGAAGCGGTTCGTCTTTGGTACTATCTCCTCCTCCATATTTAAACCTGTCAGTTAGTCATATTCAATCTTCGCCTGTCCAAACGAGTTGGATATACTCTCTTGAGATTATATTCCGAGTATCTAAATTCGTTTCATCCTAGCATGGGACTCCTCAGCAGTACGCACACACACGACCCGACTGGGACCGAACTCAGGACCTTCAGGTTTCACAGTGAACCCACTAACCATTCAGCAACTGGGTCGGTTTTCAGTGGTTCACGGTATAGCGCGACTATCACCTAAGGTCTTAAGTTGGCATCCGCTTCATTTCCGATTGGTTAACCTCACAGTGCTCCCAGATTTTCAACGGTTCCTCAACTGATGTCAGTTCGTGATGAATACTACCTCTAAATTAAAAATCCCCATTCATCTCAAAAATATATTTTCCTTTGTTTATTGTAATCCTATAAGTGACTTTCAATTACCTTGAGAGTTGACCTTGTGACTTTATTGGTTGTTTTTGATAACTTTATATTGACTCAATAGCTATTGATGAGTATATATTCTGTTGTAAATTGGACTACGATTGTATAGTTTATTTGTAAATAGTGACAAGTAATAATTAATTAAATTATTAAATATACAGGATAACATTAGCAAGTAGGTTACAGTTCACTTAGCCTACTTTGATTCCCTGTCATGTGATGATTCAGTCGTGATCTGATACGCTGCACCGGTTTTTTATTACACTCCGATGTATATACGATGTAACTGAGCAACATTTTTTTCAGATACAGTTTGTAGAACGAAAACAGTTAAGGACTTAAGAAAATCTTTTCTTATCGGGGAAACTAAATTCAGTTTTGATAAAACATGAAAACTTTACATTAAACATAGCTAATCCAAATAGTCATTGCACTTTATATTCGAGAAGTGTTGTTCTTTAGTTGCGGTTGTGTCTTCATTTGTCTGTTATGATCCTTCTTGTGTTTCATATTTCTTCCTTCAAAATGTCGACCAACTAAGTGATAACTCCGCTTGCTTTTCTCATGGATATTAAGCTATGGTACGCAGTCAGTTATTTTGTGCCGATTCGTGCAGTAGGCAATGTATTGTGAGAGCTAGTGATACTACCTGGCTGCCCAAACCTCAGTAGGTGATGCGGGGTTCGAACCCATGACCCACTGGTTGATAATCATCCTTTTAACCCATGAGCCACAGTGACACAACATTGTGCTGCATACCACTTATATATGTTCGTATAATAAGCAGAAATTATCACATTTTCAGTTGATACAAATTCATAATTTCACAGCCTAACTTGTCTTCTTTTTGCGTCAAAACTATGCGCCCACTCCATATCACCTAGTCAATGATTCCATAACATGTGACCCAACTGATGACTGCAATCAGCTCAATTTGGATTGAGATGAGAAGATTTTGATGGGCAGCTAATGTGATTACAACGAACGAACTAACGAACGGTTACGTGTCACGGGGTTCTATACTACAGTCAAGTAAAAAAAACCTTGATGACTGAAGTGAAATTAAGATCTGATTAGTAGATGGGTGTTGTAGATCAGTTGATCAAGCGCCTTTTTTCTTGAAGACTGACCACAACGTGAAAAAATAGTTACCATCTTAATAACAACAAAAAATAGTAAACTGACAAAATCCATCCAGATTAAATAACAGAGAGAAGTGATACAGCATGAAGTGACAACGAAATTGAATTGTTGCCAGTCATTAGTTAAACATTGATAATAATCTCTATCCATTCGACATAAAATTCAAACCCAACCGCTACCTGGTATCTTGACGTGATGGTCGGGCTTGCATATGACAATGAGCTAACGAACTACACCGTCCGGAACGCTTGTTCCCTCGAGGTCCTACCATACCAAAAAAGTCTGCTGGACGGTAAATAGATGGAAAGCATTTACGGTCGTAGGATAAATTGCTATACTATGATGGAAGTTCGAGGGTACTACTGCTAGCTGGATGGTGTGTGACAGTAGTAAGGTGTTTCCCTTGGACGATCAGCAGTACCACGTAATGATGCGTTCCCTGCGGGAAAAGGGAGGGGAATAGATTAACCAAATCTTAAAACCACAACCTGCGAATCCTGTATATAATAGGCCTCAAGCAGATGTTCCTTTAGGCTCTGTATTCATACAAATCTTCTCTTTCAGGTACCTTCAGAAGAAATAGCTTTCTATAGTATGGGCACACACACACACACACACACACACACACACACAAATCACAGTAGTACACAAGAATTCAAGCAACGCTGATAAAAAGTGTCAACTGACCACGGTTAATTATGCAATAATACACAAGTGTACTCACACTTACTAAACACAATAAAAGTGAACTGGACTATCGACCATCTCTTACTTCCGTAACCAGTAACTATTTTAATCATTAAACCAGTTAAAGTAGGAAAGTGGCTCAAATATTAGCTGGTATGTACGAACATCAGGGTTCGTAAATTGTAGTACGGTAAGCATTGGAAACTAGTTAATCCCTTTTTCTTTTAATTTTAAACGAAAGGATTATTTCTAAATGTCGATTCACCGGCGCATACAATAAAACTACAACTCACAAGCCATTCAGTTTAATTTGACATAAAGGAGGATAGTATGGGTAGGATTTACACGTTCAATACATCTATAATGCATGACGTACAGCTATTGCTAAGTACAAATCAAACTTAATGACTAAGTTATTCAACTATCAACTAATGTGTAGTAATGATGGGCAGTGGATAGTCATGGAATCCAGGATGCGCATTTCATCCAATTTGGGACTCGGTAGTCGGATGTACCTGCCTCGGTGGTGTAGTGGATAACGCTTTGAAGTTCGAAGCGATCGCTCCCAGGTCCGAGTCCCGGTGGGAACAACATCACTTGGCACTGGGGGGCAGGTACATCCAGCTGACTGGTGAGTCCCAAACTGGACGAAATGCGCATCCTGGATTCCACTGCTAGCCACGACCCATCACTGATACAATTAGAACGTAGGCAATGTCGGGGCAACCGCACAGGAGCCCATATGCCAACAGAGACTGATCAATTCGGTCCAATCAACGACTGTTTCATACAGGCAATAACACTATCAACTAATGAACTATAATCGGCAGGAATCTCTGGATTTATGCTTCATGGTTGCTAGTACTTGTCAACAAGGCGTATCTGTAACATCGAGGAAACTGATGTCCCTTTTGAGATTCGAACTCGCGTCAGTCAGTGACATTACCATTCAGCTATTCAGGTCGAGACTGACTATCTGTAGGACTGGATAAGGCACAATGATGAGTTACTGGAGGATAGGTAACTTCATGTAGTCCATACTCTCGGATTAGTAATAAATCATTCAATTTCAAGCGTAGAGAAAGGAATCATACAAATCATTATTAAATTTCCACTGTGTATATATATGCCTACCTTTCTATTATTCATGATATCAGTGCTTGGAACATCAATAACAACGATACGTTTGTTATCATTATCAAACACCTGTTGATTAGAAGTATTAACTTGTTTTTCTTCTTCTTCTTCTTTTTGTTGTTGTTGTTGTTGTGAGCATGCAATGGAGGATGCAACTAGAGGTGAATCAATAGTTGACTGGGAAGAAAGAGCTGATCGCTTAGGACGACTGTAAATAAAAAACCAAGACAAACTGAAACATTATTACAATATCATGTAGAAATGTATGTAACATATGATAAATACCAAAGTATTCATATATATATATATATATATATATATATATATATATATATATATATATATATATATAGGTCACTGAAATTTAACTAAAACACAGAAAGAAAAAACGAATTTAATCCAGGTAAATACAAACATAAAAGGAGAAGAAAGTATATTAAACATACATTAATTGAACCCTGGAAACCAACCAATTTTATATTGTCTAATCCAGAGTGCTAACTGGCAATATGGCTGCCAAATTAGGGGGCTGGGTATCGCGGTATAACTTTGATGGATGTTAGTTAATTAAGGGACAATCGGTTAACACTCATGACTAGACAACGTGAATTTGCTGCCCCCCCTCCCCCCCAGTAACCAATCAATGTACCTAATCTAGTGTTACAGGAAGTCAGTAGCGACCCGAATAGCTCAGTGGTGGCGTCACTGACTGCAACACTGGGCAATGTGAGTTCGAACCTCAGAAGGGACATCAGTTCCCTAGATGTTGCAGATACTCCATGCTCACAAATGCCAACAAGATCAAAGTGTAAGGTATAGGTACTCCTAGCAATTGTCTTCAACCAACTATAGTTCAAGATTAGGATGTCAATAGTTTAGTATACTCTGAACTGCGACACTGGATCCGTGATGCTTAAGTAGTGAAACATTCGTACAATCTCCATAATACATATATCTCAGATTCTCCATAAGTTTAGTGCTACTGATTTGATCAGACTTGCTAATGAAACTTTTACGATTGTATATGGAAGCTGAAACAGCACCAAACCATCGTCAATGCTAAAAACTGATTCAGTAAGCCTAAACGGTAAACAAAAGTCAAACATGAAATAAACTACAGGTTAGAAATGAAAAATGTGGTGGTTTACACCCCCATTAGGCATTAACTTTAGGTTATCACAACACAATATCTCGATATAACTGATAGTTGGATGAACCCATTCGTTCTTTACTAATACTCTCATATGACCATATATTCATACTGTCAGTGAAGTCCTATACACTGTTTATATGGTAGGGTATATTCAGTGTTCAACACCGAAATAGTGAATATAAAAGAAAACTTTGATTCTAGCCCAATGGTGCATATGGGCTGTTGAATCAGAGACGGACGATTGGAGGAAGTGAGAGGGTATGAGTGTAATTTAGCCATCGATAACTCACTGTCTGTAATCCCCGTTATTAACATTTTATCAGTTGTAAGTTTTACACTCTTCCTTAACTGCATACAGTCGAAAACAGAAGTACCTAGACACCAAATAAGCTTAGGGGAAACGAAAGTTTTTTTGGATAATTCCTGATGCCTAGGAATATGTAGGACTGATAGTCTCACATAATAATCCTAAAGTATAAGCCTAGTTGAAGTCTACAAACAGATATTCAAATATTCACTGGTGTAAGCCTTCGACTACACAATAACGAAAGCAAATTAGTATCACAGTCATTTAGTAGTATGAACTGCTGGGTTCTAGGTAATCAGAAATTGAGTCCCGTTGTTTATTTTCTTATGCAGTGATAACATCAAATATACAGTCTGAATAACAAAACAGTAAGCAGAAAAACGGCAATTAAGCATGAGCACTTATCATACTAGCAAAGGTTTTCTAACATATAGCCAGTAACAAAATTCACTAGTGAACTCATTTTAGCATAGAGTAAAAAAAAATCGGAAAACATACCTTAAAATTGGTTCCAACTTGTTTCCTGAATCTAAAGTACCTAATAAATATTTTAAAAAATGAATTAGGAAGTGAAAAATATTCATTATTCTTAAGAAAATTTAGTTCAAACTTGTAACCATATGAAGATACATCGTTTAACTAACTACTAACGAAACGCACTCAGTTATCTTTGGTATATCCATCCATGCAGTAGGAAATGAGCCGTATCATCGTATCAGAGCTAGTGATACTACCTGGGCTGTCTAAACGTTAATAGGTGGAGCAGCGCTCGAACCTGTGACCCAATAATTGTTAGTTAACTCCCTTAACTAATGAATCACAACTCCACTAACTACTAAATTGTTTCACCAATTATATGTATGTCTATGCATTAGACTATGAACCGTAGTCATTGTTTGAGGAATAGTGATATTATTTGATTACGCAAACTCCTGAACCTTCTGGTTGAAAGTTATATGTTTACACCAATGAATCACAGATCCAATTATGAATGAGTCATAACTACTAAGTTAGGGGTATACACTAGTTGGAAGTGAATCATAAGATTCATTCAGCAACAACTCTCTCCATGCTTTCGGTATACATGAAACTGTAAGTACAAGATAAATGAATAAACACACCTAGAGGTAACATGGGAAGGTTGAACGTTGAAATTAGTTTCTCTAGCCATATTCCCTTATATGTATGTCGGTAGAACATATATCGAAAAGATTATCATTGAGGTGTAAGGCTATCCTAGCAGTGTCATTGTGATAAACATATTCCTCGACATAGGTCATGACTGTCGACTCGATCATAGCTTAGAACGTGATCGAATCAATAAAAACTAAAAGTAGATTGCTACATTATCCAGAAGCAGCACCAATTCATCGACTGAAACCGAACTAATGTGTACAAAATGAGTTTATGATTCACGTGGCATTGAATTGGTGAATTATTCTTTTCCTACAGTTATGTTATTCTATCATCATCCCATTATCTTAGATATTATTCTAAAATACAATTCATATTCACAACATTTTCAATTGACTTGAATTCACCAAATATTTTAATCGTCGTTTTTAACATGTCCTCTCTTTCATTGTTCTATCCATTAGTTCATATGCTTTCTACACCATCTTTGTTGTTTACCTTCATGAGAACAAATACTCAATGATAACATTAGGTGATGATCGCTCAATGTCGTGAACTGAAAGAGGTTGAAAATATTGACCATTGGATTCCAATCCACTGGCTAAATTATAACATGCAGATCACTGAACTCGAAACTTCTGGGTTCGGACCCTGGCGGGGTCATGAGTGCACACTGCTGAGGAGTCCCGTACTAGGATGAAACAGCTGCACAGTGCTACCAGTTTTCCGATATTCCTCCAACTTATGTCAGTCCATGATGAATATAAACTTGAAATCACTAGAAAATCCCTACAATTTCCCTGTATCACAACGGAGAATTACAAGTATAATTTTTCAATACCCATTTCTTTGGATCACTAAAAAGAGATAATACTTTGAGGACGAACATTCCCGTCAGGTTGATGCTGTTCCCATGGTAAGTCTTTTAGATCCCCCCCCCCTCTTGGCTGACATATTTATGTCACACGTGTAAAACTTAGTAGAGAACCTAAAAGACTAAGCCCATCTACATCAAAGATATATCGACAATATCCTAATTATTTGTGAAAACTCAAGTCAGTCTACTTTAATTCTAAACCGATTGGATGAAGTACAGAACAGCATATCTTTGACCTGCAGAAGAGAACGATGACTGGTTGCCATTCTCGGAAATATTGATCAGTCAGCGGCAGGATAGATCCACAAATGACCTATCTATAGAAAACCTATATGGACAGGCTAATATTTGAACTATCATAGTTTTTGTCCAGTTCAGTACAAGAGAGTGCGTTAAGTTAGGTGCTTATATAGTAGAATTCAGCGAATATGCACACAGGATACCTTGGAAGACGAAAGAGGAACATTAACTGAAATATTGTTGGAAAATAGCTACCCATCAGAATTTATAAGGCAGAACAAAATAACCAGCTCTTCACTTTGTCCCAAAGAAAGATGTTTTCTGTACAAAGGTGATTCTAATAGTCCAATCCTTAAACACAGACTTAACGTTGCTATTAGAAGGACTTACTACGCAGCCAGGATTTGATCAACAGAAACCACCAAGACTGTAATACACTCCAAAACCCTTACAGCACGTTAATGACAATGTCACATCCTACTGGATTTACCAATTCAAAGACACGTGTGGTGGCACTTACAAAGGGAGGAGTCACAGATCCATGCAAGTAAGGACCTCAGAACATATTCCAAAGTGGTTTCGGAAGCAAATTAAATCACCTGAACCCATAAATGTTGGTAGCAGACGTCCAAGTTCTTCCATCGCCAAACATATCGTTGAGACAGATCACAAAAATGACGTAGCTACCTCCTTTTGACCTATTTACAGAACATGTTGGGGATGCATCCTTAAATTTGTTGAGGTCTCCGTAGCTATTAGGAAACTGAAACCACCTTAGTGTATTCAAAAACAATTTGTCATCATATTAAATCTCTCTTGGTAAATTCAACTATAAAAACCAAGTTCGATGTGCTATTATTTTTGCTCAAATGATTTTCATTGTTATTCAGCCTTTAATTCAGCCTCCCTGCTTGACCTCTTTTTATTTTCTCACCTCATCATGAACTTTGATACAAATACCTATGACAAGTAAGCACATGTGTGATCAGATAGTTGGAAATGTATTGCATAAATACTTCATTATATGGTTCAAACAATCTACGTCTTCTTATTGTTTTGTCGAAAAAAAGTAATAACTAATACCCATTGTACAAGAGGTAGGTAGCCTCGTTGGCCGAACTGGATAACGCTTAAGTGTTTGGAGAAATGGGTGCGACCTCCGTGTCTCAGTGAGGACAATATCATTCACTAGGGTAAGGGTACTCCCAGGTGACGAACCCCGTAAAGAATGAAACATGCGTCCTGGATTCCGCTGCTAGCCACAACTAACTCAATTATACAATTTATGTTAATGATGGGTAGTGTCTAGCAGTGGAATCTAGGATGCACATTTCGTCCTATTTAAGACTCGTCAGCTGGATGTACCTGCTTCCCAGTGAGTGATGTTGTTCCCAACGGGATTCGGACAGTATATCCTATAAAAGAAATAATTATACTATACAATTTGTGTTTAGATGTTAAACATGTATTTTATTATTGAAATGCAGCAAGTGACTTATACTATTGGACATTGACATCTTTGTGTATACAATTTTTAAATTAATTGGAGAAGATTAAGAGTACATAAAATGAGCTCGAATACATCCTATAATAATGTTTTGTGAACTTGCTTTGCAAAAGCACAAAAGGTGAATTAAATGTATGAACCAGGAGACTGAGAACCTAATACAACAGGCATTGAATTATTGCAACACTATCCAGAAAGAGAACAGCATTTCCCTTTAAAACAAAACATTTGGTATACAAAAACCAAACTGAAATGCACATTCGTGTAGCAGTTAGCAGTGAAGCACACCAACCTATTGTGTGAGGGTTAGCGATACTAATGTCCGGCTGCCTAAACCACATCAGTATATGGAGCAGGGTTTGACTGACAGATACTGACTGATGAAATCAACGTAGAACCTCGTACACAGGTGCATCACTACAAGTGGCCAAAAATTACAGTAGTACAAACATAACATGTGAATGCAAGAACATTGATATCAAAGTAGACAAAGTTGTGTTAGAGAATACTCATGCTTTAGATATCAAAGATTGAATACATTAGCGTTAATCAAATTTCCAGCGATGTCACTACTATTCCTTTCGTCTCGAACACAAGAACCACAAAATATGCATCAGCTTATACGGTTCAGACCAACAGCTAAGGACTTCATCTACTGCTGTCAGGTCTTCGTTTGGCCACCCTGAACCCTCTTCCCTGGTATTCCACGTCGACGTAGGCGGTCGCACAGGATGCGCAGTACATATCCAAGCCATCTCAGTCGACTAAAGTTGGTTCACAACCTCATCAATCGACTCACTAAACCAGCAACTTGTATGCGAGATGGAATTTTATCAGTAAACAACAAACTTGGACTCACGCTACATCTCAAGTAAGTGCAGTGGTCACCGCATACCTATAGACCCTGGAATCTTGGACACAACACTAGTAAAACTGATTCCCCCGTGATTGTCACAAGAAAACTACTCTCCCTTCTCATCAAACTAAAATGATCAGTCAACTACACGTTTAACGGCAACACCTCTCGTTCCAACACACTACCTGGAACCTCCCTCACTCTAATCAATAATTTCCCACCTCATTCCTCAAAAACTATGGATACCAAACCTTCACCTCCACCTACTTCACATCACAATTCACGTCCTAAACAGCTTTCTCAACTCCCATCAGAGTCGGAGGACCAACATCTATGTCCCATTCAGCTTCACGCTAGGTGTTTCACAACTAAAGCGCTGCAGTCAACCAGCTGAACTCTGCTTCAACTCTGCTTCTGCTCAACATTACAACAACCTGTCCTCACAGCTTATTACAATCCCATTCTTACCAGTACCATAAGCAAGCCTAAATACTTACTGAGTATTATCCAACGCTGATGCTCTCTCCATCTCCATCTCTCTCGCTTTCGCTTTCCCACCCAACACCACTCACGATCGACGCACACTCTTCGTCAACTTAAGTTTTAGTTGCTTTCGCTTCTGCTCTTCATCGTCATCATCATCCTCATCGTCATCACAGCAAACTGCTCTCAGTCTTTTCGCATCAATCAGTTTGAATCACGTCGCGGAAATCCAATGACTTCTCCTCACCTTCAGCTGTATCTTTACAACTGTCCTTACCGCTGTATCTACACCACACCAAATATTATACCAGCCTTCCTCACAGTCAGCATTCATGTCATATTCACATAAATACTTACCTATCTCCCTCCCATATGCGTACCTGACATTTTCATCTTCCAACCAATCACAGGCACGCTTCACTATCGTCTCTTTCCTGTCACCAGTAAGATGCACACATACACGAGCATGTACAAGCATGTGATCACAGTACAAACTTGTACACCACAAACAGCTTCAATCCTCCACTATCATCTCCAAACATGGCTTACAGCAATATCATCTATGTGTCTATCGTTGGTCTGACGTCGGCGAACACCATATCAGACTGTGTCTCCTACTCATGCTTCGGGTTAATCCTGACAAGAAACAAGTGATTCTCACAACTAAATTTCAACAGATGATCACCCTTGGCGGTCTCTTCACATAGCATTCTGTAAACACCTCCCAGATGCTTTTCCCATCTGTTCAACTTCCCTAATTCAGCGTTAAAATCATCCACCATTATAACCTCAACTCAACGTCTGGCTTTCTGTACAGAAATTCACAGCTTTCACAGAATTCATACTTTGCATCATCTAAACTGCAGTCAGTGGGTGTGTCGGTAGAGATTATCAATACGCATCACCTACTCTCACCATCCTTCCTAGTCCTTACACATTCCTTCAGTCGAAAAGAACATAAACTGTCGTTTACTGCCATCCATCGACAAGCGCACTCTCTGCTCTACAATTCAATGCTATGCTGACACCACTGAATCCACAACAGACAGCCATCGCGTCTCCAGATACTCTCAAGTGAGTTTTGGCCACGTGAGGTCAATTCAATAATCGCACTCCAGTCCTGTATACCTGTACCTGTCTCAAACACGCCCCATATATCCATAGTTAGAGATTCCAGTTTTACAGAGTGCTGGTTCCTCTCCAATCTGGCATTCAGTTTGGACGTTCAAAGCTCCTACATGAAATTCATCGCGGGGTGTTAGGAGACTAGAAATCAGGTTTCCATGGCTTTGATTGTTCACAATAGTTGTAGAGTGAGAGGTTGCTTCAGAACGATGAGAGGTTTAATGTTAGTATCAGAAGGCGAAGGCAAACGCAGACAGTTGAGAATGTTATGTGTGATTGGGTGTTGTGTACTACGGGAAGCGTGTGGGTGGTTGATACTTCTCATCTACCCGCACCGTGGAAGGCTATTTTTTGTTAAAGTATCTGAAAGGGAGATTTGTGACCACAGAGCCGAGACCACGTCTGCTTCAGGTCGGTCACGTACGGCCTTTTTGATGTCATGACAACTTGCCTGTAGTGTGGGAGATGCAGTCGATATATGTCCTGTGGTTCTGGATTACCCCTAACCACCGATGACTGACCTTAGCCACCATAATGCGTCATCTCATTGTTTAAGAACATATTAGGGGTAACTTGTTTTTGTCTAACCACTATCCAATAGACCTATCTAGTATGGTCTAATGTTTGCATAGGGTAAGACAAATAATCCAAAAGAAGTAGTATTCATCATGAACTGACATCAGTTGGGGAACCATTGAAAATCTGGGAGCACTGGATACCTGTTTCGTCCTAATATGGGACTCCTCAGCAGTACGCACCCACGACCTGGCTGGGGGTCGAACTCAGGAAACCGACCCAGTGGCTGAATGGTTAATGCGTTCGCCGTGAAACCCTGACGGTCCTGAGTTCCATCCCTAGCCGGGCCGTGGGTGCGTATTGCTGAGGAGTCCCATACAAGTTGGACGAAACAGGTGTCCAGTGCTCCCAGATTTCCAATGGTTCCCCAAATGATGTCAGTGCATGATGAATACTACTTCTAAATTAAAAATCCCCATTCATCTCAAAAATCCAAAAGAATATGATCATAGTGAAAATGGATGAAAATAAAACTTACTAGAATTTAATGTAAATTCTGTGTTGGACAATTTACTAGGTTTCAGTTTAGGAGGACGACCACGACCTCGAGGTACAACTGGCTTACTGATATGTATTTCTGATATTGCACCTTGTTGTTGTTGGTGGTGTTCAGCATAGTTGATAGGTAAATTAGAAGAGGATAAACTGACACTTTCTGATTTAATGTTTGTAGTATCTAGTGTTTCAGGTGCAGAATTTACAGATACACCTGTATTATTCAAGTTTGCAGCAACCAAACTAGCGAAACCAATCACTGCGGCCTATAAAAAAAAAGAAAGAAAAGGTGATTGATGAGAATTTACACAGAAATTGAAAGCAAGTAGTATCATTGACCACACATATTTTATCCTTTTGAAAGGATTAAATAAAAACAAATTATACTCATTATGACATACGTCTTATCATCTCAGTTCATGAAGTTTTTGACTGATGGTTTGAACCACCTAGAAAAATGTAGACTTTTCGATTGACGTCCACCTGACAACTGATGTCTCGAGACTTCAGGTGACTCTAGGTTCGGAATGATTGTCAATGGTGTATATGCATCTAAACATTATCTTCCATTTTATTTGTCCTACCGATTTCTAGTATTGTTTTTCATTCTTTTTCGGCATGTCTCTTCATGATTTTGTGCACACTTTTGATTACCTTCCTGGTTTCTGTACGCTTCTTACCTTGAAAGATTGATGAGGTGTAGTCAGTGGAATTTTTTCTTCAAATAGGTAGTCAAATATATCTTACCGGTAACGGAGATGATACAAGTTGACAAATATCAAACTGGTATTTCATATCTGACCTGGGATCTTATCATCAACCAATCCATTCAAATTGATACAAATTCCCAAGCAAGTGAAATAATAAACGCTATTTCAATTAGGAGTCAGTGAAGATCCATCAGTTTACATATAACAGATACTAGACGCATACAACTATGCCTGGATTTCTGATTAAGGTATTTAAAGGACTCTGAATTTCGACAGCATCTTCGTCTAAAAGGACAATGTCTTCTGTATACTTCAAGTCTTTAAATGAAGTAAGTCAATCTCTGTGAAGGTTATATACGTAAACACACTGTCGTTCCATACGTGAATCCATACGTGAATTGATGAATATCATTCAGTCTACTCTGTTCAATGAAACAAGGAAATATTAAGTATAAACTGATTTTCAAAGTCATCAACCAATTCTCCATAGATACTAGAATTGAAGTACTAACAGTGACCCATCTTCCAACTACTAAAGCATCGTGAGCTAACAGAAGTTGGAAATATGGACTATTGGATTCTGACCCAGTGGCTAGCTCAATGGTAACGCACTGGCTGCGGAACCTGAAGGTCGCGGGTTCGATGGCTGGCAGGGTCGTGGTTGCGCACTGCTGAGGAGTTCCATACTAGGACGAAACAGCTATCCAGTGCTCCCAGGTTTCCTTTTTTCCTCCAACTGATGTCAGTCTACAATGAAATAACAACTTGGAATACTAAAACATAAATCAACTTATCAGCTCCATAATAATAACAGTGCAACTTATCAAGTATATATGGATTCTTGCACTAAGCTATAAGCTGTTTTTACTCCGTCAAAAGTTTAGTGGATCAGAAATAACAGCTTATGATCCCACACAATCACAAGTCAAATGCCAAAATGAATGAGTCATAAATCCAAGGGTTGATTTACAATGAACGTGTATTTGATCAAGAGAGTTAAGGTGAATAATAGATGAAGCATCTATCATCTATTTGAATTACCTACTTCAGTAGGTGGGAGTTGGGTTCAACCACAGTCGAAATCGCTACCTAGATGGTCTTTGTCAAAAACATTATTATTTATAAAATATTTAATATCTTATTTAAAATTACCTCACGTTTTGGTCGATCACAAGTTACAGAAACTGAATCAGAAGATAAACAAGGGGAAACTGCAACATTTTTAATAGGTTCCACCTTTCCTGAACGTCTAGAAGGACGACCTCGGCCGCGTTTTGGCACAGAAGAAACATCAGTATTATAATGATGACCTGTTTCAACAACTGAGGAACTTCCAGTTAAGTTAATAACAGACACCGTCATATTGGACTCGTCAGGGCTTGATTTAGCAAACTCTGTAGGATTATCTACATCCCCAACAGAGGATATATGAGTCTCAGCCAGGTCAGATGTATCTATCCCAACCTTGTAGCGTTTGCGGGGAGGAAGAGCTGAATGACGAGAAGCAGAAGAGCGTCTTAAACTGTTTGGAACTGATGATGAAGCAGAGGTGGTTACAATATCACAGGTGTCGGAAATATTTGTTTCCGTGGGACAAATAGATTGTTCTGAAAAGGTATTATCTGTAACTATCATATCGGCAGTATTTGTGACTACTGAGTGTTGTGCTTGTCGTCTTCGCTTATTCATAGAGTTTGGAAGTGCTGAAGCAGCCATAGTAATATCAAGCTGTTGATGTTGTTGAGAGTCACCAGGGATAGCACTACAAGATAATGAATCATTAGATGTGTACTTTTCCGGCTGGAGACTTGAGTCGGTGTTATGTAACTTCAGGAATCGGTTACCTTTGTTCTTTTTCCTACGGCGACCTGGTGACTTCTGAGGACTGAAATCTTGTTTAACCACAGTTGAGGACTGATGAACACTATCTTCTAATTGTTCAAAAGATATATTTTGAGACTCATTCGGTTCTTGTTCTACGGAGATAGGAGAATATTTGGTAATGCATGCAGATTCTATTTCACAATTTTGTCCACTTGTCTCCGAAGCAACTGAAAGAGACACCTAAAATCGGACAAGTATATTAAGATAGAAACAAATGTAATCATCAAACACTACTTTGACCTAATCAAATTCGCAAGAATCAAGTTGAAATGTGCTTGAAAATGCATACGAAAATACGAGAGAAAAAAGTGTTACTAAAACACACACTCATGGAACACTTCCGTCTGACTGACCTGAATAAACAATAACAGCCACCGTAGTAGATAATACAACTATATAAAATACTTCACATACAAGTTCATGATATAGAGGAAACACTCTAGACGTTATATAATCGCCTAATGCCTTTGTTTTACTAAGACCATAAGCCAGAAACAACAAATGAAAACTAATTGGAGATCATTTCTGTGCAAGTAGGCATAATATATAAAATCAGAATTGGAATGGTGTGGACTGTCTAAATAATAACCCACTACTCACCTAGCCCCCCCCCCCCCAACTTACAGTTGAAAACTAATACTACGTAATACTACAAATGAAAGACGATTTCCAGATTTGTCAACACGATTATAAACTGAATCCATCCTGTAAAAGCGGTAACTAAACGTTAGTAATATAAATGGTCATTACACCCCGTACCTTAACTTGGTCTATTGATAGTACTACTATTAATCAGTAAAACTGATCTATTTCATAGACTTTATTTAAAAGCAAATGACAGCAATAAGACGATAATCATAATACATATTTTTAAAGCAACACCCATTTACTAACCAGTCTTTTCATGTAAAAAACAAGACAAAACTGTAAGAAGATTTAGTGCTGATCATGAAATACAACTCCGTATATAGAGGTTGATCAACCTGTAAATTGTACAGTTCACAATGACATTTTTCATAGCTGAATAGTTTTTCAATTGCCATCTAAATATGGTGTCAACAGAGTTTCCCGTTGGAAACCCAAATAAGTAAAATGAACATCAGATCACTTTGATCTGATTGGCGAAATCTAAAAAAACAGTCTGAGTGATTTCTAACTGTTCAAGTTGATTTGTAGTATATTTTTCCCCATGCATGTTGCCGACACTGTCTGACTACCTAAAACCTCAATAGATGAAATGGGCTTCGAAAGAAGTAAACTACCTTAAGGGATCGAATAATTTATACCAAATCATCATTAGGTTATTGAACGCAAAGATTAAAACATAAAAATATTTACTCTCCAAACAACACTCATAATGAATTACTAGAGAGATGATGTTTCGTCTAAGTATAGGACTCCTTAGAAGTGCGCACCCATGACCCTGCCAAGGATAGAGCAGCAAACCAAGTTAGATATGAAGACAGGTACTCAACAACAGTGTCGGATAGTCATGTCATATTGCGAATTGACGAAAATAGGAAAATATGGACCACTGTATCCCCCACCTTGTGGCTCAATAGTAACGCGCTCACTGTGGAACTCACAGGTCATGAGTTCGACCCGTGGCGGGGTCGTAGGTGCTCACTACCGAGGGATCACACACTTTTGAAAGATCAAATGAGTCTGAATCTCAGCTCGAATAAGTGTGACGTCTCAAGCGGTCGTCAGTTGAAGATGGTAAACCAGTCAAAGCAAAGAACGATTTTATGAACGAGTCCAGAAAAAAGGTTGGAAAAACTTCGATGTATACATTCAAAAAAGGCTTGTTTCTCAATTTTCGCAGTTTCTTGGCCTACTATTATATTATACTATTTGTCCTTCGGGTTCCTATTGGAACATACGGCTTCAGTAGCACGTCTCCATTCCACTCGGTTCTCTGCAATCGTTTCAACCTGGCTCCACAACAGCCTAGAAGCTCTCATTTCTCCATCACACCATCTCCTCCATGTCACCCTCACCTCGCACGCCCAACTCGTCGTTTCTCACGTGGGTTCCACTCGAGTGTCTGGCCTGGTGCGTGATATCTCTGAATGGTCTTCTCAGTGCATGCTCAATACAATCCATGTCCACTTCCTTTTGTATATTTGTTGAACGATGGGTTCTTGGTTGGTTCGTTCCTAGAGTTCCTTGTTGCTTATTTTTTTCTGGCAATCCATCTGAGCTTCAGTAACGAGCTAGCGTAGGCAGTTGTTGATGAATGTCTGTAGTTTGTTGGAAATGTCTTTCGAAACGCGCCAAGTCTCTGAACAATAATAGAAGCATTGACTTGACGTTGGCATTCATGATGATAATTTCAAAAAATTCGAATAATGCATAAAGTATACTTTAAAAATTGAAATGAAAAATGTGGATTATCGAAGTGGAAGAAACTGCTTACTCTGTGTTCACAAGTAGAACGATTTACGCTTGATTCACCCTCGTTTGTATCAGTTCTATTATCAACTGGGATTTTGGTATCAATTGGTTTTTGTATAGCAGTTACATTATCCGATGATACACTTGATGCCTCAGTACTAAGTCCAGAATATGCAGTAATTGAAGAGGATTCACTTGGTTTGGTACGACAAGTTAATTCATAGGCAGTGGGTTCGGAGGCTGTAAAATACAATTGATAATTCATCATTAAGAGGCATTGAATTTAAATCTGGATAACCTAGATATTCTACTAACGACAAAACTTGTCGAGTTAGTGACCCCTCATAGAGAACTAAATCCATGATGACCAAACTATAGTCCTTTTATCATACGGCTTTAATCACGTGGAGAATTGTAGTGTCTAGGACTATAGTCAGATTAGTGTAAATTTATGGTGGTTGGTGGTGAGATGACCGCGGCCGAATTCGAACCAGCGACTAGGTGCACTGCCGCTAGACTGTCGAGTTCGACGAAGTTTAGGAGTTAAACTTTCTTCCTCTACAGAAGCTATCAGTTCTGTTACGACGGATAACGTCAGTGACCAGCGACCCAGTGGTCACTGGTTTAAATCCGGACGCGGTCCAGATTTTTATCTCACCTTTAATCATCACCCAGCATAAATACTAGTCTGCCAAACTACAGCTATCTCAGATAGTCAAATGATAGTGCAAATTTGATGATTTGTAAGTTCTGTTCACAATAGAATCCAATTGTCCTGATACCATGACACAAAGCTCGACCTTCAACCTTCTGTAGGAATAGCCAGTAAGCAGAACAAAGTAACTGCCTTCCGATTTTAGAACGAATGAATTGTAAAAGTGCAATGGGCAGCTTTTATGCCATTAAAGCCGTTAGGCTTTCGAAGTACGAACCCAAACAACTTAAACTGAAACCAACTGCTTTCAGTTTAGAAAATATTTCCAGTGCATTTTTCATTAAACTAATTAAGTTGACACGATTATTAGTGACAATCCATTTAACCAGTAAGACAAGAGGAAATCAACTATCTCAACATTTTTTAACACTACTTTTTGTACTAAGTTCCTATTGTTGTTCTGTCCAAAGGTTTGGCTCTTGAGAACTCTGACGTATTCTGATAGATAATATGATGCGTTACTAACGCTTGGTCGTATTCACATTAGATGTCTGCAGTCAAGACTTCCCATTCAAATTCAATTAGAGAGAAGGAGCATCTAATTGATTATCAGTTTGACTGAGATAGCCATGGTTTGGTAGACTAGTATTGATACCGGGTGATGATTGAAGGTGAGATGGAAATTTGAACCACGGCAGGATTCGAACCAGCGACCACTAGGTTTTCCGGCCCGCTGCTCCATGAGACTTGACTGTTGCCCAGATTTTTATTTCACTTCAATCACCAACCAGTATTAATACAAGTCTGTCAAACTACGACAATCTCAGATAGTCAAACTGATGATTAAATATTGACACTAGTATGTCGGTTCCTCGCATATTACTTAGTTCAAAGTGTGAACTCTACGTCGGAAATCAACTGGAATCTTCAAGATGGCTTTCATCGGTAACTAAAACTATTCACCAGCCCCTTCCCGTCCCTTTAAAAAACAATGCCAAAAAGTGTTAAGACACATTCTGAGATGATGGAGAATATTTGGAGTTCAAGAAGATGATTATACTGTTGTGTTCTTTCGGCTGGACAGTTGAATTGGGAAGTTTTCATCAGCATTCAAGGCAACATTATCATCATAAACTCCTCACTAGAGTTTGTGCTGATGTCTAGGATGACTGAGGAAGTTTCATGATTCAAGCATCCCTGCCAAGAGAACACAACACCACCACAGAATGGTACAACGTCGTGGAAGAAAGAATGCTGCCACTATATATTTTGAATTAGGAATAGTCACAGATAAGTAAAGTTTTCTGGAGAAATTTTTTATTTCCTAGACAATGGGTTGAAATATTCTACGTGTTTGGTCACTGAACTGATATCACATATGTGATCACTGACATACTAAAAACCTTGAAGAAATAGAACACACGTCCATATTCTGGACGAAGTAAACTTATGGAATAACATTTCAGAATACAATAGTGATAGGTGAAAACATTTTCGAATAAGTAAGAGGATCAACTTACCAGCAACTGTAGTTTGCATTGATGCCGTCTCAGAGCCTACAACTGAATGAGTAGTATGACTAGGTGCACTGCCGCTAGACTGTCGAGTTCGACGAAGTTTAGGAGTTAAACTTTCTTCCTCCACAGAAGCTATCAGTTCTGTTACAACGGATAACGTCACTTCTGATGGACGAAGAGGAACAGAACAACCTTTTGATTCAATTTCCTTTAGTTCCTGTTCGCGTTTTCGTTGTTCAGCCATTACAGCATCCCATGTGACAAGACCACGAAGTTCCCGAGAAACACGAGATTTGTCTGAATAACAAAATTGTAAAGTAAAAATTATTCCTATGTGAACACGTGTATTTGTGTTATAAACGAAATCGAAGTTATCCTTTTGGAACTAAAAAAATATATTGAGGTAGTATTCATCACAGACTCATATCAGTTGGAGAACCATTGAAAACATGAGGGGACTGGACAGCTGTTTCGTCCTAGTATAGGACTCCTCAGCAGTACGCACCCACGACCCAGTCAGCGGGTGAACTCAGGAAGCGGATGCCGACTGAAGACCTTGAGTGGCAGTCGCGATATACCGTAAATTGACAGTAGTTGGGAAGTATGAACCATTGAACTCTGACTCAGTGGCTCAATGGTTAACGCATTTGCTTTGAAACCTGGAGGTACTGGGTTCGACCCCTATTATCATCATCTATCAACATAGGATCAGGCATTACTGAGTAACAGTCGAACTTCCCACACCTCATATCAATACATCAACCAACAAAGCAGTGAAGTGCAAGATGAAGAAAAGAAAACTTAGTCAAAAGAAATATAAACTACTCAAAGAAAGAGAGAAACGAAGAATCAGAAAATAATGAGATTCGTTATAGCGTCATTAAAATGACGATATTGTGTATGTGTATACATCTGACCATATCACCTAAACTCAGTCTCCAACCACTCCTTTCTCTTCTCCCACCGACCCCAACCACACAGTATGCATCTCCACCCTCAAATGGCTCAAACCAACAGTCAAACATTCCATACATTGGTGCCATGATTCAGTCTACCCCACCTCGAGCCTTTCTCCAGCCTCCATACCTACTTCAACCAACATTGCGTAACGAAGCACACGGAAACTACGCATACACCTAACATATATCTCAACTACCCATCATCTCAGTCCATCAAGGTTCACAACCACATCAACTGACTTACCTCTTCTTCCTCCCTAAAACTCTACATCTAACTTCTGCATTACTCACGTGGTGACAACACGGAATACTACATCTACTACTTCATCGATCCCTGGCCGGGTCATGGATGCGTACTGCTGAGGAGTCTCATACTAAGACAAAAGTCGTCCAGTGCCCCCAGGTTTTCAATGGTTCTCCAACTGATGTGAGTTCATGATGAATACTACCTCAAAATTAAAATCTCCGTTCACCTCAAAAATTATTTTTTTTTTATGGCTTTCAGTAGGCCACAGTTGACTGGATCAAATGATCAATCACTACTGGCATATGGATACCTGTACAGCTACCTTGATATTGCCGATGTCTGAAGCAATGGGTGTTGAGATTTGAGTCCTAGTGAGAACAATATTCACTGATAGACAAATACATCCAGCCGATGAGTCCTGAGGAAGAAGAAACACGTGTGCCAGCATCCAATGCAAGCCACCATCCATCATCAGTTTCAAACACTCAACTCATTTCGTACTTATTTTACAGCAATCTGACAAGTTTAGGATTAATCAATTCAAGGTATAATGCAATAAAAAAGAACCTACTTTCATTTTCCAATGGTGTATGGAAGACTTGAATAATGAAAATTAAGCAAAACTACTTTTCTTTCAAGGTATATTCTGACTTACTTTTAGGAGCAGTTAATTTAGGTGTTTGGATAGAGAGATGACCACTCTGAACATGTTCATTCTCAATAGTACATAATAAAGTAGGGTCGATATTTGGCTGGGAGATTGAACTAGATTTACAAATGTTATTGTTGTTGTTGTTGTTGGATTTTGCAGAAGAGATACCACGATGGAATCCATGATGTCGTTTACCTCTTCCTCGACGTTTTGTTAAATGTGAAACCACAGTACATGAAGTGTGTAATGTATCTTCAATAAACACTCGCTCCAATTTTGTTGAAGAATCAGTATTAGGATTTAAATTGACAGTTGAATCCCGTTGAGTTGTGTCTTCAACTCTTTGAAAAGAAAGTTGATCACAATTTGTTTCTGGGTATACTGTGTTCAAAGAATTTTGTACACTGGAATTCAATGGAGTTGATTGTTTGAATTTATCATCCAATGAATCAGAAGTGTTTTGTTTGTCTATGGTTAAATCGATAAGGTTGATAGGTTTCTTAGGCGAATGAGAAATTTCTGATGGATTCTGTAGTGTAACCAGAAGACGACGCATGTTCACCTAATAGGAGATGAATCAACAAAAAGGGGGGGGGGAGAAATGGGGTGACTAGTGACAGAATAATAATAGTATTTTAAGTACCGAGATAGACCATAATCCTATCAGTTTTTTTATGACATGTTTAATACAGTGAAATAAAATTATTTACCGGATCATCTTTTCAGTACAATTTATCGCTTATAAACAACCATCTTAAGGTAATCAATTACACAAATTTCTGGTCTAGTTTTTCATTCTTTGATTTAACTCTCATATATACAGAATTGGCGTTGTATCATTCCTATTACACTTGTCAGATGTTGATTCGATAAATAAAGCTTCAGTTATCAATCTCTCTCCGACTACACAAGTTGTCTTTTAGAAATTATCACTCTATCCCACCCTATCGCGTGATTGTGTATGACAGCTGGTCACGGCTCTTTTTTAGATCTCTTATATGTTTAACTAGGTTTCTATGTTCAGCTAGCCTAGCTGATACAGGGGGGTCGGGTTGACCTATGTGTTCAACCTTGCAATCACTGTATGAAAATAGACAGATCAAATAATTGTGTTGAACAGATTTGATAAGATCCTTTTCACCGAAAACGTTTGTCTCTGAGTTTCCAGGTTTACACACCATTTTAGTCATAACCTTATTGAGTAGCGATTTGAGAATGTTTGGGATATGGTTCTCACTACCCAAATGCAAATTTTTGCTCCAGGATTGGTCTTCAACGGTACCACGGCTAACAATAGAGAGTGAAGTGGTTGAGTGTGTCGACCGGCCCTAGTGGGTCAGTTGCCGATGAAATCTCTGCACAAATACAAAAGGCTCGATTGGCTTTTGTTACCTTACGTCATCTGTGGTGTCGCCGTGATATCCGATTGTCTATTAAGGGCCGCGTGTACTTTGCTGCAGTCCGCTCTGTTCTTGTGTATGGCTGTGAAACATGACCATTGAAGGTGGAAGACATGAGAAGACTTCAGGTGTTTGACCACCGTTGCCTTCGTAGTATAAGCCGTATTCCGTGGTGTCACCACGTGAGTAACACAGACATCAGAAGTAGAGTTTTAGGGAGAAGAGGTAAGTCGATTGACACGGTTGTGAAGCTTGGTGGACTGAGCTGGCTGGTTGGGACACGTGTTACGTATGCCTAGCCGCCGATTGCCTCGTCACACAATGTTGGCTGAAGTAGGTCCAGGCTGGAAAAAGGCTCAAGGTGGGCAGACTAAAACATGGCATCAATGCATGAAGTCGCTGACTGTTGGTTTAAGCCATGTAGGACGATTCAGACTAGGTGGTTGGGGTCCGTGGGAAAAGAGGAACCAGTGGTTGGAGACCCTAGGTGATATGGCTCAGAACCGAAGTCAGTGGCGCAGATGTATACACACATTATCCTCATCTTAACAACGCTATACCGAATCTCACCATTTTGTCACTCCTCTTTCCTTTCTTGTCGTACCTTATATTTCTTTTGACTCCATTCACTTGTCTTCATCTTTCACCTCACTACCTTTTTACTTGATGTACTGATATGAGGTGTGGCAACTCGAACCGTTACGCAATAACGCCTGGTCCTAGGTCGATCTGGGTGGATATTGAGAAAGACACGTAGAGCTTCTGATATACTCTATACAGTTTTATCATGTAAATAAGAGACCTTTCTATCACTCTCTTTTCAGTCCTCCGAACTACACTTTGTTGGGCACCCTGCAATATGTTAAGGCGTCACTTTCGTCTATCATATGGAACAAATGAGAATCTGTTTATGCGGGAATGCGTAAAAACTATGTTGTGCTGACGTGGCATCAATCTATGAAGTCGTGTGGGGGGATAATTTAGACTACTTGGATGCGATCCGCGAGACGATAGGAATCAGTGGTTAAGAACTCTTGGTGACATAGCTGAAAGTTAGTCACAGTGGCACAGATGTATTCACTACTTCACTCTACATCTTCTAAAGCTTGAATATTTACATTAACCGTTTATTCTCTCATACAACTTTATCTATCCACTTATTCATTTTATACTATCATGAAGTGTGGCAACTTGAGCCTATGCACCTGTCTACGACGTGCCATGTTGATTCTATCTGTTTGTGACTGTGTTCTCTGAGCTGGATGGCTTGATCGTGAAGCTTTTATTGTCATTCTAGACAGTAGCATCAGCAGAAACTTCAGAAAAAAGTGAGATATACAGTTTTCTTACATATTTATTTCGGAGTTAATATAGAGACAATGATAAGACTAACAGAGACAACCAATCACACACAAAGTCATCAGGATTAGTTACTAAGCCACTTGTTGAGCAAAACTCAATAGCTCACTTTTTAGTGAAGTTAGCCCTGATGATTCTGTCTAGAATGATAATGAAAGCTTCATGATTCAACTATCCAGCTAAGAGAATACAACACCACCGGAATCATCCTTTTAAGCTACGTTAATATATTAGAATAGTTAATTTAACAACATCGCTTTGACTATTATGCATGTCTACAGCTACAGAATACAAATTAGGTTGGAATTCATCATGGACTGACATTGGTTGAAGGAACACTGGAAACCTGGAAGCACTGGACAGCTGATGCATCTTAGTATGGGACTCCTCAACAGTACGCACCTATGACCTCAAATCCCCATGGGATCGAACCAAGAACCTTCAGGTTCCACGGTCAGCACGTTACCATTGAGCCACTGGGTTGGAATCCAGTGGTTCATATTTCTTAATTCTATCAGTTCATGATATATCATGACCAATAATCCAATATCGTCATTGAATAACTGTTCTCCTATTCAACTTGGTTAACTCCACTGGTCACGACTATCCATTGGAACTTCGGGAATCATCTCTCGAAGCTAGTTACCAATGAGTGTTAGATTAATTCTATCTGGAGGTTTGTTGAGGTTTATTAATTTATTTAAGGTTGGAACTCATTCAGTGCTTCCAAAGGTTTCCAATATTCCCCCAAGTGATATCAATGCATGTGATGAACTCCAACTTGAAATCAATTAATTAATCTCTACAAACCTTCAGATAGAAAATAAATTACTTTGCATTAGAAACTAGTTGTGAATGAAAAACTAATTTGTTTATACATACAAATAATTAGTAGAAGATAGAAAGTGAGTGGAAGATCTAATCAATTCGGTGAAATCATCTTGATAATGATAGTCGGATGTTTGAAGACCACATGATACCCAAGACTTACCGTAGGAATTAAGTAACAGTAATGTATTCTTGAGATGAATGGGGATTTTTAACTTAGAAGTAGTATTCATCATGAACTGACATCAGTTGGGGGAACCATTGAGAATCTAAGGGGGCGCTGGACAGCTGTTTCGTCCTAGTATATGACTCCTCAGCAATACGCACCCACGATCCCACCAGGGATCGAACTCAGGACCTTCAGGGTTTCACGGCGAACGCGTTAACCATCCAGCTACTGGGTCGGTTCCCATTGGTTGACAATTTCCAACTTCCGTCAATTTACGACATAGCGCGACTATCACCTAAGGTCTTCAGTTAGCATCCGCTTCACTTACGACTGGTTGATACCCAACTGATGTCAGTTTATGATGAATACTACTTGTAAAAAAAATATCACACTACAAAATAAGGCCTCAAATGAATCACGACAATTACATATATAAAGTGAACAAACTCTGACAGTTACACATTAGTAAGAAACTAAGCACCAACTTACAACAAATCGATGTACACGTGATTCTGGGAGCTGATGAAGCCACGGTGTACACAGTCTAGATTTCACTTCTGAACTTTCATTGTCTGAATCTGACGTCACAGGATTTCGTAAAGGGTTTGGTAACAATAAAGGTACCCATGAGGCTGGAAGAATTGTTTGTTCTGTTGAAGTGACAGAAGTGGGAGAAGAAAGACCACCACGACGGATACCACGACCTCTACGACCACCTCTACGTGCTCCTATACCTCTACGGGATGGTATATCAGGTTGACGTGAAACTGGTAAGGGTAGTGCAGCAACTGGAATTGGTCGACGAGGAATAGGCTTCATTTCTACCATACAATTATCTGAATTAAAAAACCATAAAGATATTTTACATCCAAGAAATATCGCTAAGAATAGAGAATTACATGTCAAATGCTTATCTTTACTTAACAGTTTTTATTTTAAAAGTTTCCACATGTGTGATAGCGAGCAAGTTTGAATTATTAACTTTCAGTTGTTGGTTGAATAAATAATCAATTATGCAACAGGAAGTACAAATAGCCGAAGGTTATCTGTAAACCTAGACAACTGTCCAATGAACAAAGGTCAATAGTATTTTCGTAACACCATATGTCATTGATAGCAAGTGAATGCATACACCTTAGCAACCACATACACGTTCGCATAGTAGGCAATGAGAAATATCTATTGTGTGAAGGCTGATGGTATCACTTAAACGTCAGTAGGTGAGACGGTGTTAGAATTTGTGATCCACTGCTAAGAACTAAGTAACTTGGACGTAGTGACAACAACTATCTTCACAAGAGCGAAGATATTACAAACATGAAGTTATTACTAGTTACTGACATGCTTGTTATTCTCCGTTGTTTTGTTGGATCAAATTGTTCAACCTCTATTGGCATATGGGCTCCCGTGCAGATGCCTCGATATTGCCTGAATGTTAATTATGATAATTTGGTTGGTTATGGCTAGCAGAAGAAGAATCCAGGACGTGGGTTTCGTCCTATCTGGGACTCGTCAGCTGGATGTACCTGCACTCTAGTGATGTTGTTTCCACTGAGATTCGAACCTCGTACCCAACACTCCACGGAGGAAAGGTGGAACCAACCAAATTATCATCATTAACATTCAATCAATATCGAGGCATCCGCATATGAGCCCATATACCAACAGAGGTCGAACAATTCGACCCAACAAAACAACGAAGAATAACAAGTATGTCAATAAATAGTAATATCTACTATCCGTTGTACAAGAGGTGGCTATCGTTCCTCCGTGGCATAGTGGATGACGCCTTGACATTTGGAGTGATGGGTACGAGTCCGAGTCCCAGTGGAAACAACATCACTGGAGTACAGGTACATCCAGCTGACGAGTCCCAGATAGGACGAAACCCGCGTCCTGGATTCTTCTGCTAGCCACAACCAACCAAATTGTCATTAAGTAGAGTTGTTTAAGATTTTGAAGGTTGCGGACAGGGAATACACGTAAACCACTGTAACCAATTGTGGGCCAAATAATCAAGTCTCTTGTCACTGACTTTTAACATCCACATGATCTCTAGCCAAGCAGCCTAGATCTTCCTTACACCATAGTGAAAAGAAAGGTAACCAACTAGAGAATCCGACTATATTACTTCATATTCTACTAGATGCGTTTAAATTACCGACACCAAAAGAACCCGAAGCCGGAATCAATAAGGAGCCTCAACCCAGAAGACGTATGGATCGGAAGCGGCCTCAAGCAGTACGTCTCCAACTGGATCCTAAAAAGTGAAGATATCAATGTTTTTTTTTCAAAAAGAAGGGCTGTTGGAAAGTCCCGGTCTTGCATAAAACATTGTTATTGATCTGAACATTTTTTATATTGTCGTTTCGACACCATTTTTACAGCAAGACTAGTAGTTGATTTTGTGCTCCCATTTGTAATATACTTCGCTGATTGGTTAATCCTTACTCTTACTAGGTTAATGTGTCAATTTGAGGACAAGATAATATCTTATGTGCATACATACGTGTTTTTGGGTTACTTTATTATTATTCTCACAGGAATAAACTCTCTCATCCAACTTAAGCCTTTTTCTCTATTCTTCCCGGGTTGCGGTCAGTGATTTTTGCATACGAAGTTAGCTGTCAGTTGTGTGTGTATTGTATCCGTTCAGAATACATAACAGACTCTATTTAAGTTAACCATTGAGTTAATAACTACCCATACTACTTTTGTCATTACAATTGAACATATTTTTGGGCTTCATAGACTCAGGTAAGTACGCTACAATGGAATAACTAGTGTTGATGGTGGTTCGGCATACACGACATCTTCCATTCGCCTGAGCTATTCAAGAGAAAACCGCTAGCCCTAGTTTCCTCTTCTAGCTTTCTCTGAGTTGATTCGTGTTCATAGAAATGAATTTTACAGTATATGCGTACATGAAGCGTATCTGTCTAGAAATAATAGAATACAAATGTCGAATCTCATTATGCCGCTAACAAATGAAGCATATAAGACCGAAGTACTGCCATTCTCATAGAATCATCGTATAAATACGATTCATAAATAATGAGACTATACACAGAAGCTTGTCACAAAACAATAAAAACTTACCCTTTAGGTGAACTGCTAACTCATCGATGGCAGCGATTACTGACTCGTCTACTGTGGAAGGTTTCTTTTTGTCTGCTTTAATAATGCTTTCAATTCACGTTTATTTACTTTTCTGTGAATATGAGAGGTAGTGTAATCTGCTGTGACTAAAATTGAAAATTTTCAATATAGAACATTATATAAAATGAAATTAGTAAAACTTAAAGCGTTTTATTACCAATAATATATATATATATATATATATATATATATATGAAATGGAATAATAACACTTAACTAAAAACCACGAAGTGACTTCTAAGCTATCCACCTAACAACACATACACAACTCTGCCAGTTGCATAAAATGTTATTCAACATCTACTAGAGCCAAACAGTGGTACATAGGTCCAGATGGTCATAATTACCGACAACGAAGTGGACAAAATTAACATTACAACCTCGTATACCACAAGTTGCCATTACTCCATAACAGTAAACAGAGCACAGATGAATAGAAAAAGTGATATCGAAGTAGACAAAGGTGTATGGGAGAAAAGAGAAGAAAGATTGCTCAAAACACTTAAGCTTTAGAAGATATCAAAGACTGAAAACATCCTTACCAAATGTGACCAATTTTCAAATATTTCACCAAGTATTAATGATTCTTGTCGTCTCGGCGACCACAACCAACCAGTCTACATCTCCCACACAAAACTTATACCAGCAATTAGGGATTTCATTCTACGCCTTAGTTTGACCACCTTACACTCTCTTCAAACCTAATCCAACTTCCCTTAGCATCCCCAGACACATGATGGCTCGACATGCCCAACTAATGTTCAAACCACCTCAGTCGACTAAGGTTAACAAATTCGTCGACTCACTTCCCTTCCTCACCTAGTATCATTTGCCTAACCGTAAGACTACCCCCACAAGCAATCAATCCCACAAAGACACTCGGGATCACAGACCTGCAATCTTTTAATATCTTCTACTTTCAACAGCTATGTCTCACAGCCAGATAACAAGACAAAACGAACTGCAGCGCAGTACACTCATTCATTAAGAGGTAGTCTGATATCTCGCCAGTTGGCGTCACATATGACGCAAGATGGTAAATGCCAAACGAACCTTCTCTATCTGAGCGGAGATTACGTCAGCAACAGACCCGTTCTGGCTGTTGCAGCACCACCAAGGAAGTCACGTAGTCAACACATCCCATCACTTCACTACCTATCTTAAAGTGAGAGTATCTGGAGACCAGTCAGGCTTGGATTATTATCTAACATTTGACAGGTGAGAAATGGATGCCAAACACATACAGATTTATGCTCAAGGAGTTCAGAGTACCCTTCATTGCGTTAGCATCTTCCCCGAGTCCAACAATATTGTCTGCGTACTCCAAATCGACTAGATGACTTCCAGGGAGTAAGTCAATACCTGTGAAGTTAGACGTACTTTAGGTCAAGCCCATTAGAACATCTATAACGAATTTAAATAGGAACGGTGACATTGGGCATTCCTGGCGAACACCACTGGTTGTCGTCGTTTCACATGAAAACTCTCCATAGGCCGTTACACACCTGCGTGAGTTTGAGTAGAGAGCCGGGTACTATACTCCTTTCATAGTCAAACAACACGGGAAGTGAAGACCAACCAAAAAAATCGACGAAAATTACAACAGATGAGAAAAATGAACGAGGTTTAAGGAGCGCAAACAACTGTGCACAAGATTTTGATAGACCTTCGTTATCCAAATCCCTAACCACTGATTCTTAGCATGTCAAGGATGTCTACCCATAAAGTAACTACGCCTACCTAAGCTGTCCATAGAAGCAGCTGATTGGTTCTGGTTTGACTTTTAGTCAGAGAGAAAGTAATTATATAGTAATGATGGATAGTGGCTACTAGTGGAATCCAAGATGTGGATTTCGTCCTATTTGGGACTCGTCAGCTGGATGCACCTGCTCCCCAGTGAGTGATGTCTTTCCCACTGGAAGCCTATATGCCAATAGAGACGACAGGATAATACAATCAATAACACTAAGAGACAAAGAAAGCTGAAACTTTTTATTTATCGAGATGTGGAAAACCGAATATGGATAACACCCTACTTCATACATGTGTGGATGCCTGCTGGGTTAGATTTAGAGTGGCTTAGAAAAGATGTAGTGATAACTGCGACCTTGAAGTAACAGTTGAATTTGCTTATCCTAATGACTCGATCAAGTTGTATTGGGTGGGACAGTTGTTTACCATAGTCCTATTCTGACTAAAAGACTGATTGAAGAAGGATAAGCCTTCAAGTAACTAGTGTCGTACAGTGAGAAATAAGCATTACAGTGTGACAAGAATTGTGCTGTTGGTTGGATGAATACGTGAATGCAGTGAGACACTTACCAACAGTAACAAAAACTCCTGTTCTATACCTACCGTACTATCATTCACCCAGTAACCAACGAGGGAATGGTTAACAGTATTAGTTGAGATCAACATCTTCCCATGCTAAGGAAAACGTGAATCTTTCCTAATATCTTGAAGCCGAACAGTTAGTGACTGTACAGTGATATCCTGAACCAACCAAACCCCATTAATATACACCAATATGAAGTATGGTTTAACATCTTTAAGTTATTTTATTGCAGCTTTGTCAAATGGGTAAATTTCCTTGTAACCCCAATACAGCCTACTCTATGGCTTTATCACACACCAGTTACACCCTACTAAGATGCCTACAACAAAATCTCTGTAAACCCATCTTCATGTTTGTCATATTCAAAGGTTATAACCTCACAAGTGCATAGGTAGAGTGAGGTGAACTTTACAACCTTTCGATAAACAGATATCTTACCAATGCGAAACTACTTGTAGTCGTGTCAAGATTAGTCTTGGCAACCAAATCCTTAGAGTTGATGTAACTGCTTTAAAAAAATTAAAATAGTCAAACTGCTTAATCTTTTCACTGTTCAGCTTCTACACTAGATGATTTTGACGTAGATCAATCTAATGGCTTAATCTTACATCTAATAGGTAACACAAAACAATGTAAGATATTCGTTGAAGGCTTTCAAAAGACCCTGGATATTTTTTAATATTTTCTTTCTTACTAGATGGAGTTTACATATGGTAAGCTTTCAAAGAAAGAAAGAATTTTTCTAGAGGTCAAAAATGAATGAAATCACCTTTGAAAACTACTCCATAAGAAGTTATCACTGTGTATTTCTCAAGTTGCTTGCAGAAAGAGGATAAGCAGGATTTAGTCTATCGACGCAGACACATATACATAGTATAGAATTTACAACAAGAAATTCCTATAGACCATTTTTTTTAAGACTTACCCTTATCTGGTTGACGAGGTTCAACAAAAACAGAATTCTGTGACCCACTGAGATCCTTATTCGATGAGGTTTCTCGAGTACCGGCTAGTGACAAAATCAGACAACAATAAAGTTACCAATAACAAAATACAAAAGTGACACTGATTCTACACATGGAACTATGAAAGGTTTATATGATCAAAAACTCTTAGAAATGAAATGATATGAATAGCCTTAAGAACTAATTAGTTGATAACCTAATAAACGACTTGACTGACCACTTTTAATACAACATTACTAAGTATCAAATAGTTCATTTATTGGTAAGTGAAATATTTGCCTGTATTATCCGAAACAAGAATCATACTCTGTCTGGCCACCCCTAACACTAAGCAGAAGTTTTTAAACCTAGAATCTAACAGTTGAAAATATAGTGCCTGGGTCAGCAATAGAAAACAGGCGTTTACTTTCGTAAGATCAGTAGGCTCAAGAATGCTGACGATCAATAAACTCCTTATAAGCAGTAACTAGTTGTCTACTATAAGTACGCCACTTCAATGTCGAATCAAACATCTCTCTTTCTCTACCAGTGACTTCAATAATCGCTTTGACCTTTTCAATAGCAATAGGTTGAGTGGACTCTATATGAAATGAAGAAACGACGAAGCTTATTCAGTAAGCTTGTGAACATTCATGCAACAGGTGATGAATCATACCTATGGTCCGTGGGCTTATGATACTACCCAGTTGCCCAAACCTCAGCAGGTGGAGCGTTTGAAAGTTGACTGTTTAAACCGATGAAACACAACTCCATTGAACTGCACACAGTTTTCTTCTAGCATGGAGTGATTTCAATAACTTGATGATGACACTAGTCATTCAATATGTTAGTTTAGTATGAGTGCGGGTAAACACACCAACTAATCAAGTGAAACTTCATATTAAGCAGGATCGAGAATTGATAAAATTCTCAGTAGCTCAAGGCATGTATCATTTCAATCTGTCTATGAAGTATGTCACACAATAAAACAGTATTTTTTTTTACTGAATAAATAATACTGTCTCGCTGTGTGATACATCCAACAAACAAACATAGAATTCATAAGATATCCCAGTGCCCAAGTTTTGCTCTTATAAACCACAGGACCAAAACCATAAAGTCAACTACTTTTTTTTAACCAAGAAACTGATAATGCTTCAGTACTGGGTTGGTTAAAACAAAACAAAAATGATAAATTTATGAAAGCCAGAGACAATGAAATAACAAAATCCTTACGTTCATCATCATATGGTAATTCATGTTCACTACTGAGTCCCATTGGAAATGAACCTTCACGGTCTCTAGATTCACTGCTACGGTCATCTGCAAAATTTTTGAATGTATTTTGATCGACATCTTCATTTCGTTCTTTTCTATCCTTTCCACGACGACCATTGTAGTCTACTTGTGATGATGAATGATCATCTCCACCGGAATTATTACGAAGACTACGACTATGAAGTGATTCACTGGAAGTATCATCTGGTGTCTTAGAAAGCGTATGAGGTGACTTGTCCGATGAACCACAATCGGAGCGTAGTATTTGAGAATCATCATAATTAGCCTTCAAACTACTTTTCAAACCAAAGCGACCAGAAGATTTTGAAGCCCTTTGCTTGCCTTTACGTTTCATAGCCTCAGGTATAGTGGACACATTAAAAGTCTTCTTCTTGATTGCTTAGGATAAACTAATTTCTTGTTGAAGTCAATTCTGAGCTAAAAGATAATATATAATCTAAATTTAATTGGCATTTGAGGTGGAGAAAAAAATAGGCAAAACAACAAATAAAGTATACCATCGCTGAATAAGAAGTGAAAAGATTTGGAGAATCGGTCACTTAAACTGTATAATCTCAACGAAATACATTCCTAGGCTACATAGGTGCAAAGACAATTATCCATTTTCGATTACTATCCTTTTTCTTAACCTATGTAAGGTAGCATGCACAGTGATTCCATCTCTACTAGCCACAATTATAACATCTACTCAGGAATATAGAATTTGAAGACAGCATGTTTCATGTGTACAGGCTCTCATCCAAATATGTTTAGGTGATACTGGAGGAAAGTAGAAAAAAGGGTCGTATCTGCAACCTCGACGGAACTGATGTCTCGCTTGAGGTTCAAACCCGCGCCACCCAGTGTTTAGTCAGAGACCTTACCGACGAGCTATTCGGGCAGTGACTGACCCTCTGTATGATTGAGTTACATAGATTGATTGGTCACCAGCCCTACAGGAGGTTAGTAGCGGCCCGAATAGCTCAGTGGTAAGGTCGCTGACTGCAACACTGGGTGACGCGGGTTCGAATATCAGGCAAGATATCAGTTCCGACAAGGTTGCAGATACGCCTTGCTGACGAGTGCCAACAAGCATGAAACCTAGGTCCAGGGCTTCCTGCCGATAGCTTCCATCTAACTAACATCTAACAAAGAGAAGGATTTCAGGAGAAATGAAAGACTAGTAAGACTATCCAGGTATAAATATATGTCAACAATATGAATGAGTCAGTCAATATCAACCTGGGGTTTAGCATTACTAATTAATATTCCGAATTACTTACCACACATGACATCAGTATATCAAGAGGCACAAGGATGAAAAACAAAAGTAAATAAGGTAATCAAAAGCCGCGGGAAGTCAGGAGAAAAAAGAGGTGAAAAAAAAACTGGCGTAGTCTATTTGATGGCTAGCAGTAGGACTCAGGATGAGCATCTTGCCTTAGTTGACGCTCGTCACTTGGATTTACCTGCATCCTCGTGAGTAATTGTTGTCCCCACTTCGATGAAACGCGTGTCCCAGATCCCACTTCTAGCCATAAAATAAACTACGGTATAGTGCATACCCACGCAGTATCGAGGACTTTTCATAGGAGCCTATCTGCCAACAGAGTCGAGCAATTCGACACGTATAGCAACCAGAAAAATTGCAAGTATCAATAAACAAAAAATAATGACGTAATATATGATGATAAGGTTTACGACAATTTGTTGATGCATTTGCGCCACTGCAATCGATCTCAAGCAATATCGCTTAGTTTCCAATCTTCAGTATCAGGTGTTGCACGGACGCCAACGAACAAGTCAGTTTCCCTACACGACTCAAATAAGTGGTCAGAAATTTCATGGACTGACACTGAACTTAAGTCTGGTCACCTCTTTTTCCTAACTAAACCTACTTCAACTAACATCCCATATCGTGTAGACGGTGACTAGGTATGCATGCATAAGCTCACTGGCCCAAGCATTCAACTATAAACCAGTAAGTCATGAGTTCGAACACCGCTTCACCCTACTGAGGTTTCGGCAGCCAGGTGTGCGCACATAGTGTGCGTGGTTCATTGCTCACTGCACGACTCTGCACAATGTATCTGAGTCCATCTCACCTATTCATATTACATGCCCTAGCCATCTGAATCAATAGACACTTTTAGTCTCATCACTTTTTAATACACCTTTCTGGTATGATGGAACCTTAAGCAACAAATCTTACAACCAACATACCTAACCAATAATCAGTGATCACTGTCTTTAAGTACCTCTGGTAATAGTCCAGTTGGTCCTGTCGCCTTTCCACATTTCAGGTTACTTACAGCTCTCTCGACTTCTGTAGGTGTTGGAGGCCTTATCCTAATGCTTCATTCAGTGTCTGACTGAGTGCAGCTATGGTTCATTGGTCTAAGCAAATAACATTAAACCAGTGGGTCATAAGTTCAAGTCCCACCCCACCTACCGAGGTTTGGGCAGCCAGGTAGTATCACTAGCCCTCACACAATAAGTGTGCCTGCTGCACGAATGTGCAAAAGGTTGCTAAGCGCATTTCGATTTCGATTCGGATTCGATTGGATAGCTGGCAACGGAATAGTAGCTGGGGGCGGTTAAATTGTTCCTCGAATATTCTGTCCATAGTTACAGTAGTCCCCTAGGCGGAGTAAATCGCAGATCCATCCTTCTACGCTATAGTTCCACTAATCTGATGTCTAAGCACCAGTTACCTTGATAAACCCAAACACCTGACTAGTGTCGCCGCTGCATTTCCCATCTCAGCCTTCACTATCCACCACTGCATGAGGACTCGAGCCAGGCAACCTACACCTGCCTACACAGCTTAGACCAACAGTCAGACTTCATGAACTGGTTACATATCTTGGTTTGTTCATGCTTACTCTGCTTTTAATCCAATCTTACTTCAGGCAACACCGCATACAGAGGTAGGCGTTGGCTTGACATGCGCGAAACATGTCTATGCAGAAACTTCGTCGGTTACTGACCCCAAATGATTGATTTAATTACCGAACTAAGTGAAAGGGGTCAACACAGCAACCTAATTTACTCTTTATTGTCACAGACCACTCCTGAAGCAATAATTTGTATTCCACAGATGAGAAACTAATTCGAACATTCTCAAATTAATGAATGTGTTCAGAAAACTCTTCCCCATGTCAGCATCTTCCCCTAACAGGAGTGTGTTATCTAGCAGAGACATCAATGCATCTATGGTCAAATAGGAAACTTTAATTAATACGCATAGGATTCAGTCAAGTAAAAATGAAATGGACGACCTTGTTAAGAAGTAGTGAACACGGATATATTGCCGAATAGATCACGATGGTTGTTTCAGAATAGAACCTTCCGTGACGTTATGCTTCCCAAAAATTTCCCATAACACCGTTAAAGACCACTCGATAAACAGAACAAAGTGCTAGTGCGAGTGTGTGTTCATAATCCAATACATGGGTGGAAATCCAATAGATACACTTATGGCTAGGTTTGAAACACCTGGCATTATCAGGTCCGCTGTTTACAAGTTTCAGTTTGACGACGGATTGTAAAACGTATAGTTCTACATATTGTTAGTCAGGTTAGTTCTTCTGTAACTGACGAAATATAACCATTTATTCATACATCAGAAAACAAGATTTTTATCAGTGAAGCAATATTTCTCTTCAAAAGGAAAGAAATATTTTTTGCAAGTAAAAATCTTGTTCTTCTGCAACTGTCAAAAGAGGATCTCTTCAAGACCGCAACAACTGGTGACTAAGACTAGTTAGAGAGTATCATATCAGATTCCTATACCCTAGCTAATTACTTTACTCAATTATCCCGAGCCACCACTCGTAATTCAGGTTCACCCGAACCTACTAATCCCGTTTTCCGATTACTTAACACCTTTACAACCCCAACAAGAGTTGGAGATTCCGTATCGACGCTCCACTCAGATTGCGAGTGGATAACAAGCAATTTAAGACTAGCTAGTCAACCTGACTACTCGACTTTCACTCTATCATTTTAACCGCCCCTATTGCTGGTTGGAAGGTGACTCACTTCCATCCACTTTACTTGAACTAACCAGTTTCAGATGGATGGTCTAACCAATCTGAGAATAATTACACCACTACTTGAGACCGGTCGCATACGGCTTTGTGGATCATGACCAACAGCTGCTACCTTGACGTGGTGGTGCATGAGTTCGAGTAGAGAGCTTTGATACGCACTATACACCTGCTCGGTACTCTCTTTACAGTCAGACGCTGCCACAACACCTCACGGTCGACAGTGTCAAATGTCACCTTCACGTCAGGAAATATGGCAAGTGTCGACCACAGGTAAGTATGCCTATGTTCCAGGACCCATCGAAGTGTGAAAATCTGGCTGATGTAGTCTCATCTACGTCAGAAACCTACCTGGTTGACCCGGGCTCCTGATAGGCATACGATAGTAATGGATTCTAGGATCTTGGACACAACACTAGTAAAACTGATTCCCCCGTGATTATCACAAGAAGACTACTCTCCCTTCTCATTAAACTAAAATGATCAGTCAACTACACGTTTAACGGCAACACCTCTCGTTCCAACACACTACCTGGAACCTCCCTCACTCTAATCAATAATTTCCCACCTCATTCCTCAAAAACTTTGGCTACCAAACCTTCACCTCCACCTACTTCACATCACAATTCACGTCCTAAACAGCTTTCTCAACTTTCACCAGAGTCGGAGGACCAACATCTATGTCCCATTCAGCTTCACGCTAGGTGTTCCACAACTAAAGCGCTGCAGTCGGCCAGCTGAACTCTGCTTCTGCTCAACATCACAACAACCTGTCCTCACAGCTTATTACAATCCCATTCTTACCAGTACCATAAGTAAGCCTAAATACTAACTGAGTATCATCCAACGCTGATGCTCTCTCCATCTCCATCTCTCTCGCCTTCGCTTTCCCTACCCAACACCACTCACGATCGACGCACTCTTCGTCAACTTAAGTTTAAGTTGCTTTCACTTCTGCTCTTCATCGTCATCATCATCCTCATCGTCATCACAGCAAACTGCTCTCAGTCTTTTCGCATCAATCAGTTTGAATCACGTCGCGGAAATCCAATGACTTCTCCTCACCTTCAGCTGTATCTTTACAACTGTCCTTACCGCTGTATCTACACCACACCAAATATTATACCAGCCTTCCTCACAGTCAGCATTCATGTCATATTCACATAAATACTTACCTATCTCCTTCCCATATGCGTACCTGACATTTTCATCTTCCAACCAATCACAGGCACGCTTCACTATCGTCTCTTTCCTGTCACCAGTAAGGTGCACACATACACGAGCATGTACAAGCATGTGATCA